GGGGGGGGTGGGTGGCGGATTGCGTGGTATTTCCTGTGGCCAGCTCTTCGGCACAGACCGGGAAGCCATCACTTTTGCACAGCAATGCTTCACTTTCTGTGGGTGTCCCTTTTCCCCGCACACCCTCCGTCGACTCCTCAAACTGCCATTACAAAGCTTTGGAAAAGCCCATCTTACGGCCCCGTACATGGCATTTCCCAGGGTTCTCACCCCCCACCGATGAAAGGATGCGCGCAGGTCAATGGTGCTTCCGCGTTCGCCCGATGTTGTGTAAGCCGTGCCAATACTGCGTGGTGCTTGGGAAATGCAAACTCGGAACATTCATCGTGAGGATGCGATGGTAATATTCGCGTTGTAAACAAGTAGAAACGGATTTGTCGAGGGAGCGGGTTGCCCCTCGTCTTTCTTCAAGACTTGACAGCTCCCCTCACGGGTAGCCACGAATGTGGTTGTTACAGCCCTAGGACAGCGACCTTGGACCGCAGCTCACAATGCGGCCGATTGAGAGTCCTGGACGCTCCGCGAGTCAACAGGCGCATCTAGATCTACGATGCACGATGTACCAAGATACGCGATGCAAGCCTCGGGACCGTTGAGAGACCGGGCGGCTGCGTTCCATCCCTGTCCGCAACCTTATCTCCTGACGACGCGGGACGGGATGATTCAGATTGCATCTCGATAGTTGTGTTTCTAGAAATTCTCCTTATCTGTGCGTTGTTGTCGTTTCCGGATTCCTGGGACGGGCAGACATGTGAAGATGTGCGATAAGTCCTTATCAACTTACCGTTATCCAGTCGGTATCAATATGATGATTAGCAATATCGACAAGGGCACCGAGGAGTCCGGACCAAATGCCAGGGCTCTGGCAGGTCCTAGATCCGGGGGCCAGTTAGACAGTTGCTTCCAAGACAATGCTATTCTTGTGATCAGCTTTCAAGTTTAGCAGCTTGATTGTCTTGCTGAGACTTGGCCGTGCTATCGACAGCTTTGACGTGGGCTCCTCACTCTCCTTACCGAGTAGCTATTCACGCCCATCGCCCAACCTCCTGATACTGACAGACGCTGGTGCCCGCAGAAGGAGCGTAAATCTCTCGCACCAAAAGCCCAAGGATTTCTGTGTCGCTTCTCACTCTTCCTTGTAATTCTTCTTCCCCGTTCATGTCTAATATGACAAATACAGCAGCTGCCATGGTAGTGTTGCCACTGAACAGTGACTGCTGTGCTGGCTTGGCCTAGATTGGCAGCTGCCCCGCACTCATGCGCATCAACCCCCAAACGCCTGCAGCCTGTTCAGCCTTCCGATCCGATCCCTTTGCATCTCATCCTCGAAACAGCTTTGAGCTTTGACATTGCGGGCCAGCGACAAAAAAGGGCCCCAAGTTGAGAATCGCAATCCTTTCGCATCCCTCGTCAGCCGCCTGCGACGTCCTCTGCGCCCGGCTTCCCCAGCCGTGGCATCCAACCATCCCAATCCGATAAACCAGCCATTGGAGCTCAGCTCCTCAGCTCCGCCTCCCAGCAGCATGTCGCTTGCCAAGAGGAATAATGGTGAGCACCACCCACCCGCCCGCTCCCCCGGGGCCGCGGGCCGCGTATTCGTCCCAACTCTATCCCATCATCAGGCTCACATCCTTGCTCCCAGGTTGCCTCGAGTGTCGCACGCGACGCGTCATCTGCGACAAGGCCGAGCCCGAGTGTTTCAAGTGTCGCAAGAAGGGCATCAAGTGCTCCGGCCAGGGCATCGAGTGCCGCTTCAGCCCGTACATGCGCAAGAAGGCCACCGCTGCCAAGGTCAAGGCCAGCACCGCCGCCATCACCAGCTCCAGCGAGGGCGAGGGCTCCGCCGAACGCGACATCGCTGCCCAGCCCGGCGCATCGGCAACCAACGACGCGACCAACATACCGACCCGCACATCGTCCTCGAAGCAATATCTATGGGTAGATCCGGAGCCGATCCCGGGCTCAAGCCCGAGGGCGACGCCACTCGCGGCGCTCGTCGTGCCCAAGATGGAGGAGGACCCCGATTCGACGGCGCTGGCCGACGCACCGGTGTACCGGTCGTCGATGTCGCCTTCGTCCTCGGCCAGCTCGCGGACGGACGAGACACACGACCAGGATATAAAAGGGAAACACATCATGTCACCAACTCGCAAAGTAAAGACTGAAGATCGCTTGGTGGTGCGCAGGCCGTCAGTCCAGCGGGATCCCTGGTCATGCGGGCCCGATGTCACCATTCAGAGCATATCTTCAGACTCGAGATTCTTCTTTGACCATTGTACGCCCAGTCCTGCGCAGAAATTTGGCTTGCAAAGCTAACCTACCACGATAGTTTCCAACTTTATCGCGTCGAAAATGGTCGCTCTCGACTTCCACGGCAACGGCTATCGGCAAATCATCCTCCCCATCGCCACGCAAGACCCCATGGTTTCGCAGGCCGTCAGCGTTGTGTCTGCATTTCACCTTTCGCAAGCTGTGCCGTCTCTGCGAATGAAGGCCGAGGTCAATCAGCAACGGGTACTGTCGAGACTGCGACAGTCGGCGCTCAACCCTAACCCGGATCAATTCTTCAAGCTCTCCAACTGGGTGACCATTCTCGTCCTCTTGGTGGGCGATACCATCACAGGGTCAAACAACTACGTCTACTTGCTTGACTTGTTATCACGGCTCTCTCGAGCGGCCTTGTCGGACAAGTCGCTGCCAGACGATGTCAAAGAATTCGTCCAGCAGCAAACACGAATGCAAGTCTTTGCTCCTCCGCGTTCTCGCATCGTTAATGCTAACATTGAATGCAGGTTCGAAGTATTCGGAACTCCACTCTCACATCCGGAAAAAGCACTGGATATTCTGCGGCGACGGTCCACCGACCACCTCGCCTTCATGTCCTACTGTCCGTACACCCCGGAGCAGCGGGCCTTTGCCGACACCATCACCGAGGTCATGAAGCAGGCGTGTCGGATCTTTGAGTGTAGGGCTTCCAAGACGGTCACGCCCGAAGCCTCGATAGCCTCGGTGGAGCGGATGCGGCAGATCGTCACAGGCATGGACCTCGAGAGGGACGGCAGCCATGCGCTGGTATGGCCGTTCTTCGTGGCCGCCGCGGAGAGCACGCTGCCGGCGCACCGCGAGTTCTTCGCGAGCCGGCTCGAGCGGCTCTTCTCCAACACGCGGTTCGGCAGCATCCCGGTGGCGCTGAACACGCTCAGGTACATTTGGAGCAAGAGCGCGACGACCAGCTGGACGGACGTGGTGGCGCGGGAGAGGCAGGTTCTGATCATGTAAATATTATTTGGGGTTATTGGCGTTTGGGCTGGCTAGCTGTGGGTTTTGGAGTAGCGCTTGATTTAAGATCACAAACCATGTGCAAATATATCGAACACGTCCTACCATGTCCCTAAACCTTGCTTCTATCATAAGGCATATTTCCTCTACCTACAGACAAGCCAAATAGGCCAAGGAAGCCCGAACAAGCTAGATTAACTAAATAAGCTGGACAAGCCAGACAAGCCAGACAAGCCAGACAAGCCAGACAAGCCAGACAAGCTAGACAAGCCAGACAAGCCGGTCTGTTAATCGAGGATCCGTCCCTGGATAGAAAGGGCAAGTAAAAAATGACAGTCTTTCCATATGGGCTGCGTCCACGATTTCAAACGGACCATACCGCTGCATTGTAAGGAACGTGTCTTCGGTCTGGTTGACATTTTTGATATAGTCGATGTATGCCTCGTCATAACTGCCGATTGTGATGAAAACTTCCCGTCGGTTCTGCGAAATAAGAACACGGCGATATTGGCGTCTCGGCTCCTTCTTTGCCGTCGGCATCTTCCTTTCCGCCACCTTCTTCCCTCCCGCCGGATTCATCCCTTCCGGCTCCGGGAGTGGCCCAGGCCCGCTCGCCGTGCCCTTGCGCTTTCCCAGAGCGGCTCTCTTGGGAGGGATCTGCTTGTCAAGCTGCGGATATTCGGCGATCCAGGCTGCCATCGGCGCAGACTCCTGCATGTTGACATTCATCTCGCTCATGTGCCGGCTAGGCGGCTTGACCTCGACGACGATGATGTTTCCCGGTAGGTTGCGCTTTGGTCGGAAGACGCCATCAATACGAGCTTGGTAGACTTCGGCAGCGCCGTCATGCCCGGAAAAGGGAGAGCGGTAGGGGCTCCAAAACCCCTTCCACATCCGGGGGGATTAGTGCGAGAGTGTCCAAGAGCAGTATCAGCGCAAAGTTGACAATCTGTTCATCTTCAATGAACCTGTACACCTTGTCTGCGATGCTGGGGGGAATTGGAGTGCCACAAGTAGGGCTAAACAGGTATCTGGGCTCGTCTCCTCCTCCTCCTCCGCCTCCTCCACCACCACCTGATGAGGAAGAGCCATCTCCCAGCTGCTGTTCAGGCGTGTGCAAGCTGAGCCTCTCCATCTCCGGCGATAGTTCTTCACTTGGCTTAGGCGTCGGGGAGCCTTGTTGTTCGGCACGGGTCTGGCTGCGGGTTACCCTTCTTTGGACAGTTATCTTCGAACTGTCTACTTCTCGCTGGGACTCGTCCGAGATCGCTGATGAGCTCCGATGATCGCTTCTGATATAGACGAGCCATCTCAAAGGCTCCGAGAGCCTCCCTCTTAGAAGAGATACTCTTGAGATGAGCCAGGTATTCCTAGCAAGAGTGAAGGTATTCCTTAGTGGTACCCCAAGTTTCTTCCGTGACTGCATCCTGTTCGAAAAGCTTATCGAGCTGCAACCGAGGTTTGGTTTGATAAATAACGCGCAACATGAGGAACTGGGGTAATTCGATCTTCGAGGCTGAATTCAATCGACTAGTTGAAGAGGGTTTCGCCTTCAAGGCGCATTTTCTCTACCTGCTTGCGCCACAGTGTATCTGTGGGTGGAAGTCGCGAAAGCATGCTTGCGGTTGATAAAAGGAGTGGGTAAAAGGTGCCGAGAACAGTATGTATGGCGTGTGCTAACGTATATGTGAGAAGTTGTTGCAGTAGTTGGGAATAGAAGGGAACAAGCCATACTCTTATAGTTCATACCTCGGCGAGTCAACGTGGGAGCGGCCTCTGCTTTTTCCCTCTTTCCCTCTTTCCCTCCTTAACCCCATTTCCCCCTTTTCTTCTCCCCTTTTTTTTTTCATCTCCGCGGCTATAGTCACCGCCTCCGACGACTCGTATCAGATCACGACGGCACGCACGTATGGCATCTACCTCGCCATCTTGACAGTCATGACGGCGATCAACATATGGAGGAATAGCATACTCGGGAAGTGGAATACTGGCGCCCGTAGGCTTCTGCTGTCCGTCTGCCTCATACATGCCTCGCTTGCCGTGTAGTGTACTGGTCCGTTTCCAGAGCCGCCGGCACCAGCATCGTTATCCTAGCCAGGTCAGCCAAGACAGACACTAAGTACGTCTTCGCCGGATTCAGAAACGACACCAACTGGCCGGACGGGGCTCCCTGGCTCCTCAGCCTCGTGCAGTCGGTGCTCTCCGTCACTGCGTTGGACGTTGTGTATCACACGACGGAGGAAATGCCGAACCTGCGACTCAACGCGCTCCGAGCGTTACTGTATACGGTTGTCGTCGGCGGAGGCACGTAAGTCTGTAATCAATCATGAAAACACGTGTTCCTCGATGCTGAAATCGCAGAGGTGCGGCCTATCCTTCCTCGTAATCTACTTCTACCAAGCTGACCCCGCGAGCATCCTGGACGCTGCTGGCGACATTGCCATCTTGGCTATGGTTCTGCGCGCGATGAGTAGCCGCGCAGTCGCAGCCACAGTAGGCTTGCTGGTTAGCGGGTGCTTCGTCAATGGCTTCAGCGCGAGCATCACCAGCGTCAGTCGCCTGTTTGCCATGGCACGCGATCGCGACGTCGTCTTTGACGAGTTCTTGGAGCATTTCTCGCCATGCCATAATGTCCCCGTCGACTTTATCTTATTCTGCTACGTTCAACGTCTGCTTCGGGTTGTTCTGCTTGGGCCCGACCGTGGCGTTTAGCGCATACGTGGCGTCCCTCGTCATCTTGCTCAGTCTATCGTACGCAGCGCCGATATCATCGTCTTAGTACGGGGACGACGGTTTCTAAGGGTGCATCAGACGAACAAAGGATTCTACTTGCTGCCAGCACTCGGCACACTTATGGATTGCGCCAGCGGTGGGGGCGGTTGAGAATCCGAGCTGATTACGGTAACGGATGCATTGCTCTACTTAAAGTATTTTAAACATTGTGCAAGGGATTGCCTAGACTCAACTTTGTCCGATCTGAGAACCGCCGCGACGTGGTGGTGCGCATGGCTGTGGAGTGCGCTTCCAACTTGGTGCTCTTTCTTTTCTATAAGAACAAATAAACAGAAGAACAGGGTACAAAAAAGGCTCTTAAGTCCCGAGTTTCATCATCTATGTACAATACTTGCTACCTAGTAACGATTGCCGAGCTCGGCGGATTGACGGTCGCTTCCGTCGCCGTTACTGACCTCGCGCTGTTGGGGATGACGGACAAGAGCTTAATCGATCAGCGAAAACTCTAGTATCGGGAATATTCATAAAATACTAGACGATCTATTATTAACCATCTCTACACTCGAGCAACTTCACCATCATCTGTTGTGTGTTGTGGGCTGCTAGCGTAGTCCCCTTATTAGGCGCTTTCTGCGTTATTATGGGACGACCATCTATAAATAATGCAAAGTTCTATACCTGTGCCTGCTTACTGTACTCGCAATTGTGGTACATAAGGCAGGGCTCTATTATTAATAGCGGAGTATCAGCCTGGCGTTTCGGCGGATAATTCAAGCGGACACGGCCACCCAACATCTGCATGTAATAAGCTTTGATGCCCCAGGACTGGGCCATTATGAGAATCCACACTCATCCAGTGTTGGTCTTTGGTAACTCGGCCCGTTGCGTCGGCAGCTGATCAAGTTTGACAACATCCTCACGCTACCCTACTGTGTGATACGGAATTGTCGCATCTGTTCTGTTGTTCAAGTGGAGTTGCGAAGGACTTGCTCAGAGATGAATACGAGCTGGTGAGTGACCCCATCTTTCTGCAAGCTTGACAGGTGGAAATTAGCCTTTCCTAGCGCCAGGGGTAACTTGTCGTTGGCGGTTGTTCAGGGTCTATGGAGCACCAAACCGGTAATGTCTCTGTGTGTTATTATTAGACGGTGTATATTACTTGAAAGGATTCCTCGGCTGCGTTCTCATCCTACGTGCCTCGGGGCTTGGGCGCGAGTTGACAAGCCATACAAGCTGACCGGAGACCGAACAACAGGCCTTGGTCGTGGCGCAGCCCGTGTTCTAGTTCTCCATACTCGTACGCTCTCCCCAGTTTAACAGAACGAGTCGAGTCATAGCTTCAGAGGGAGTTGGCACTTCTAAATTCCTGTCTTGATGCGGAATCCCAATCCCATCGTGAGCTTCTCAAATCCCTTGGACATGGCCTCTCCATCAAAGATGTTGAATTGCTTCTCCACGAGCACCGTCCTTGTCAACGAAGCACCCAATCACCGAGCCTACCATGCGCAGTAAGGCTGTGGAAGCGGGTGCGGGTGGAGTTGGTCGTGTTGACGGCGCCGGCCACTTCGACTCCCCAGGACAAATAGGATATAGTTGCGTTCCAATAACACGCTATCGAGCGCCACAATAGGACCGTTCCTTCTTCACTATTCAATATTTGGCGTAAAGCCCAGTGTCTAGACCCGCCAGGGGAAGAATAAAATCTGTGTAAATATACAGGCACGTGCCCCCTTACCGGAAGCGGGAGAAGCATCTTCTCTCTGAACGTTGAACGTGACAGTACGCCGTAAAAGTCCATATCAAACGCCACACAACTGCAGGCGGTGATAGCTCTGCGTCTCGAGTGTAAAGATGCTGTCGTTGGTGTCATGTGTCGCGGCTGCGCTCGCAGTTGCCGGCCGGGCTGAGAGTCGAAGCTATGCGCTTTCCAAGACATACGACGCCTCCAACTTCTTTGACGAATTTGACTTTCAAACGGTGCGTACGCTGCATGCCAGAGACACGAGGCTAGAATTCAAGAACTAACGGCAGCTTCCAAGACCGGCACGCATACAGACCAGCCGGACGACAATTGGTCATGGGTGACGTACCAGACCAAGACGGATGCCATTAACAAGGGACTTGCCGCTGTAAAGAATGGTCAAGTATATCTCGGCGTGGACTACACGAACACGCTACCGGCACAAGTCAGCGGACCGGGGCGACCTACACTGCGACTGTCGTCCAAGAACTCGTTCAAGCACGGGCTGGTCATCACGACGTTCAGCCACCTACCTCAGCCTGTCTGCGGTGGCTGGCCGGGCTTGTAAGAAAAGTCACGCGATTCGATACAGTAAGCTTCCTGACTAACGAGAATTAGCTGGACGGTTGGCACTGGGCAATGGCCTACCGCCGGCGAGGTCGATCTCTACGAGGGCTGGCATCTTGCACCCAACAACAAGGTCGCGCTTCACGTCGGCCCCAGCAGCGCCATCGGACAGTGCACCCTGGACCAGTCTTCACAGAACGCGCAGGTCCTCACCGGAAACTGCGACAACACATTTGAGGATGGTGTTCATCAGTGGGCCAACCAGGGCTGCCAGTCCGAAGAAACCCAGAATGGGATTTGGGGATCTCCCCAGGGCGGCATCCGTAAGTTTCCAAACAGCTAGGACTTCACTCGTCCGCTTCTAACCAAAAATCCACGAACACAGAGGCCCTAGAATGGACGAGCGATTTTATCAAAATCTACACTTGGCCGATCGGCTCGGCCCCCAGCAACATTGCCTCCGCGCAGCCCGATACTTCCTCCTGGGGCACGCCGTCGGTGCAGCTCGAGAAGCCCAACTGCGACACGGAGACTGCCTTTTCCGACCAGAAGCTCCTCTTCACCCTCCCATTCTGCGGAAACCCGCCCGGAAACGACCAGTTCTGGTCCGCGCTGCCGGCGGACGGCAAGAGCGGCGCAACCTGCAAGAGCATCACCGGCGAGGCGACCTGCGTCGACTACGTCGCCAAGAACCCGCAGGCGTTCAAGAACTTTTACTTTGGCATCAAGGACATTCGCATCTTCAACGAGGTGATCCAGAACCAGCTGTCGCTCGACGGCAGCAGCCCGTCGTTTACGTTCAACTACGCGACGAGCCAGGCCTCGGGCGACAACTGGATCGGCATCTGGCCCGCCGGCGACGCCAAGGCGCCGCAGTCCGGCAGCAGCGCCTGGGCGTACGCGAGCAAGAGCTCCGGCTCCGTGCTCATCACGCCCTCCAGCTCCATGACCGCCGGCAGCTACAAGGCGTACCTGCTCGCCGGCGACCGGACCATCCTCGGCACCGTCTCGAGCTTCACCTACGCCGGGGGCTCCTCCGCGGCGTTTACCGTCAAGCCCCACTACAGCACCGGGTGCGCGGGCAGCGCGAACAACGCCGTGGACGTGCAGTCGGGCGGCGGCATGTGTCTGAACACCAACTGCGGTGTTGGGAGCTTGGATATCGCTGCGGCGGGCAGCTGCCCGAGCGGCCAGGTAAGGTTGAGCTACTGGCAGGGGCAGGATTGTGCGGGGGATTGGTACGGGTACGGGTACGCGAGCAGGGGCACCTGCCGCGGGCTGTGGTCGGACGGGTGGAACTTCCAGTCGCTGTGGCTGTCCTGCGCGGACCCCAAGGATGACTGCGTCGCCAAAGGCACCTGCGCGGCCGCCCCGGAGCCGTCCGTGGGGGTCTGCCGCGCCTCGTTCGCGCTGAAGACGCGGTACAACTCCAACTGCGGCGGCGCGGTGCACAACGATGTCACGGTGGCGCAGGGCGGCGGCACCTGCATCGACACGGACTGCGCGGTGGGTAGTCTGGAGGTGGCCGGCACGGGCAGCTGTCCGGACGGCCAGCTGCGGATCAGCTACTGGGAGAAGGGCGGGTGTAGCGGCAAGTGGTTCGGGTACGGGTACGGGAGCAGGAACCAGTGTAGATCGCTGTGGTCGGGCGGTTGGGGGTTCAAGTCGCTGTACGTGACGTGCGGGAAGCAGAGCGATGATTGTGTGAGTCGCGGGACGTGCACGGCGGACCAGCCGGGGAACTCGGTGTGTTAGGGAGGAGGTCTGACAAGATCACTTTCATCAGCGCAGCAAAGTCTCTTCCTGTATCTAGTCAGTAATCTTGCCCAAGTCACTGTTGACCGACTGTTGACCGGAGGTGTTCCGGGCACATCCGGAACGGATCAACGTTCAGCGGAAGCAACACAAGGGGATAACTTCAGCCATCAATCAACTCATTCAACCTCTATACACTCATAATCCCTGTACCTGATTCTATCAGTCACGGATAGGCGCTTCGCGGCCTCGGTCTAAAATCTACATGTCATCATAGTGCGGACCAGGTAATATTAGAACCGGCCAACTACGTAATCGAGACATTCGCAAAACTGCATGTTGGCGCACCAGGTTCGGCCAACTCGGCATTCTGCACAACTTGCACCTACGCCAAACCCGCCGCTTTTTTCAGTCCTGGGATCATATTCCTCAGGACGGCCATTTCGTCGAATGCCAACTTCCGCTCGAAAACTACGTTCGGCTTCTCGCCCGCCATCAGCCTCTTCTTCACATGCACAAAACGCATCGCTTTCTTCATCTCGCCCATCTTCGCAATCTTCCCATTCAACTCCTTATCATCCATACTCCTCGTTTCTGGGTTCCAGGCTTCCCTGACCAGGTCAATGTACTTTTCTTGCCAGGCAGGAAATCCGTCTGCTACAAAGACGGTGAGCTTTTTGGGCTTCTTGAGGTCGTAGCCAATATCTTTGCCCTTCGCGTGCTTCTTCTGCTGTGCGGCTTCTGTAGACGTGATCTTCGAGGACGTCTGGCGGACGTATTCATGAATCGCGGTCAGGGAGGCCTTGGGGAGGTGCACTTCTGGGTAAAGTTCGTTTTGGATCGTGCCCGGCTTGTTCAAGACCTCGAGCCAGATGTACTCTGACCAATGCGGCGCGAGGACAGCGAGTATAAGTGCTTGCAGCTCAATGTATAGGAAAACGACATCTTTGTGCATCTTGATTTCTGCTGCAACACTTGCCTCGCGATAAAAGTCGCGGGCGGCGGTGAAATCGTAAAAGGCGGATTTAAGCGCAAGCTTATAGTTAGTGTCTTCGTAATGCTTCTTTGCCTCATGCACCAGTCTGTGAATCTCGTTTTCGAAGAGAGCGTCGAGGTAGTCGTTCTTAGGACCGGTTCGGAGCCTGTCTTGGTCTTTAACTTGCTCTTCACACCATTCACGCAAGTTAAAGAGACGCAGGACAGTTGTATCAGCGACATCCTCCTCAAAGTTAGCATCAGCAACCCCATCACCTGCATCTGCTAACGCAATTCGACTAGCATCGGCTCCGTATTTGCCGACTAAGTCGTTACGAGTCATAATGTTTCCAATTGACTTGCTCATCTTCTCTCTGTTAAGCAGCAAGTGTCCATTAGCACGAATGCTCTTTGGCCAATACTGGGGCGGAAAGAGGGCAATATGGATATAGAGGAAGAAAGTAAGATGGTTAGGAATAAGATCCTTACCAGATACTCGGAGGTCCAAAGGATACCAGTATTCAAACGCTCTACGCATCGAGTTAAGGATATCCTTCGAGATGTTACTCTCTTTTAGAATATCTTGACTGATATCGCCTCGCGCGAATACATAATCCCAAACCTTATCAATCATTTGCTCAGGCTTGATACCAGCCAGTCCAGGGTTCTTTCCGAAGATGTCAGAATGGAGATAATGAGCAATAGTGTAGTAGGCCATGTAAATGGTACTATCGCTTAAACTCTCAACCAAGAATTGAGGATCCCAGGGAAGCTTTGAGCCAAGACCGTAAGATCGAGCACAAGCCCATTGGTTGAGCCAGTTAAGCACCCCCTCAAACTCAAATCCGTTCTTAGTCTCCTGGGAAGATGTGTTGAGTCCTTCGCCGTTGCAATTGTCCAGATACTGCAAAGCTTGTTTCCTCCAGAAATCCTCTCCATAGTCGAGATACCATTGATCCATAAGAGAAACACAGCACTCATCTCCGGAGCGACTGACAACCTGCCTTTCTGGCTCGGCATAGGCAAATCCATTCCTATAATGCAGCAGTTGTTGGCTGACCTTTGGTCTGGCCACTTCGACTTTGTCGCCTGAGAATTCGCCATAGCACATCACACCTTGGTAGAAGCCTTCTTTGTATACAAGCTCCTTTGCTTCTGCAAGCTGCTTGGTATCCTTAGGAGATGAGATCTTTAGCTTCTCAACCAAGAACTTGGCGCTAAGATTTCCGTAGGATGGGGTTTGGATGAGAGGGATAATCTTGACGTCAACCCATTCCTTCTTAATCTTGTAGTAATCCGCTTTCTTTGCGAGATCCATAATAGTCGCGTAGTCGTCAGGGCTGTCGGATGGAACGCAGGTAACGATACCAGTGCCCTTGGTAGGAAGTACTGACTCCATAGGAAGAATCCGAACCTCGTTGCGTCTCGAAAGCGGTGCATTGACGAGAGTTCCAACAAAAGCCGATCCCACAACTTCAGCAACCTTATTCACATACCATTTTCGCTGAACACGCCTTGGTACGACATGTTAAGCGCAGGTCGATCAGTAATAACGAAATATTCGTCATCCTCGACCTTAAAAACGCCGTACTTAACCTTCGGTCCAACAAAACAGCAGGTCTGACCATACATAGTCTCGGCTCTCAAAGTCGCAGGCACGAAATACACACTAGAACCCTTGGGGAGTTTTCCCTTAAGAGCAGCTTCAGCATCAGGTGCCCACTCTAAAACCTTCAACTTCAAAGCTGTGTATTCCTGAGGTCTGGCACCCTTACATACTATAATTAGGAGGAAACACTACTAAGTAGTATAACTTTTAAAACCTAAGTCTCCTCTAGAGTAAGACTAAATAACTTAATAATAGACTAGAGCTAGTAAAGATAAAAGAGTTATTAGTTTAATTATAATTAACTAAAGGACTTTTAATTAAAATAATATATCTTTTTAGAAAAGTATATTTATTCTTAATTATATTATTAAGAAAAACTAGTATAATTAGTAGTATAAGTATTAGTAAGTATAACTTAACTTTTCTTTTTAAAAAGAAAATTTATTAAATATTATACAGGAATTAAGCTACTAAGTAGATTAAGGCTCACTTATTACTATAGGACTTATAAAGAATATAAAAATAAACTAAAGGAGGAAAAAAATTATTAATCTCTTATTCTTTATCCTTAGAGATAAAGGCTATTTAAATGATTAAAGCTAGCTAGATTTCCCTAAAGTTATTCTATAAGGGGGCCCCTTTTCTAAAACCTAGGGGAAGGGTGGAAGGGCTTAATATAATACTATCTTTATAAACTAAATTATACTTATTATAGTAATAGAAAGATTATATATTATATTTTAAGTATAATTTTATACCCTTAATAACTTTTAGTCTAACCTATAATGTTCAATATTATTCTATTATATATATACATCTATTTTTAGATAATAAGGAACCCTAGTTTAGGAGCCCCCACGTTTCTATCCTAGGAGACGCGCATACATAATCCGCACGGGTACCCGTGAGTATTGCACCCTCAGGCACGCTTTAAGTCCCCGCATCCAGGTGTTGCTTACTCATATCCCCTACGGCTGTTAGTCTTCACAGCACCAAACTTTCGAGAGCCTCATGTCTCGAGACCTCTTTATCTCTTACGGTAATTTAACTGATCATTCTATGCAGCTTGACCCAGAATTACCAACTATAGTCGCTGAACTCGCACCCATGCAGTCTCTGATATCTGTTTCCAGCAACGCCCAGTGCCTTTCAACGGCAGGCGAAGCCTCTGCTTCAAAGCAACCACATGCCATTCGAGACAAGTCGGTTCTGGCCCATTCTGCAGAAACTGCGCATAGTTTTGTTTCTGAAAATGTTGCGCGGAGAAATGGCAGTGTAGCTCGTCCACAGATACGACGGAAACGATGGGCTCCAAGAGCAAGGACAGGCTGCCAAACTTGTCGGTACTGTGGCTTTGTCCCTACAGGCAACATTTTAACCCGTCTAACAGATCGACAACCAGAGAAAGGCGAATCAAATGCGACGAGTGCAAGCCGACATGTAAGCGATGCGTGTCGGCAGGCCGAACGTGCAGTGGCCTGGGCTACAGTGTCGACGAGCGAGCAGTGTTGGCCACGGGACCCAGGGCGCTGCAACCTGCCCGAATGACTATAGCGCAAAGTACGCCGACATCTATCGAGATGGCTTTAAACAAGTACTTTTACGCACAAGTAGTTGTTATTGGCGGGAATGAGTATGATGAAGACTTCTGGCGCCGTTCCATTCCGCAAGTCGCACACAGCCTGGAACCGGTTTGGCATGCATGCAATGCCGTGGCGGCAGGGCTCTGGTCAGACGCCGAAAAAAGCAATCCCAGGACGCAAGACGTGGCGGCCATTCTTTCTCAGGAATCCTTACGGCAGCACTCTGCCTCCATCAGGGGGGTTCTTGATCTTACCAACTCGCGCTGTCTTACATTGCTGGACAAAGTCACAATCTTGTTGGTCAACTTTCTCTTCGGTATCTGCAGCCTGAATCGGGGCGAATTTGAGACATTTGCTTCCATCTGGTTGCAAAGCCGTGCATTGATCAGGCAGTGGAGGTTTTGGGATTGCCTCCGAAGCTCTGGTGCCATACCCGGTTTGGCAGCGCAGTTACTACTTGGGAACATCAGACTCGAATGTGTCTTTCAGTCTTCTGAGATGATGAATGTAGCCAAGCCAGCTCTGGAATGGCATCAGGGCCTTCAATCTCTGCAGAAGCGGCACAAGCGACTCATGTCCAGTACGGAGGCCTGCATTGAAATGGAGATGTTGTGGACCAGTCTGCAGGCGATGCTTGAGGGGCTGCCCTTTCGTCCAAGCCTTGAAGAGCTAAGGGAGGCGCATGTCTTACGTCGAAAATACCGCCAGCAGTTTGAGAATTGGAAAAAACGATTTTCCCAACTCGAAACCCAACTACCGCCTCGAGACATGCATCGTGTAGCCCTTGACGTGCAGGGTATACTGGTCCATATACAACTGACAGTGCACTTAGGGAGCCCTAATGACTTTAGAGACGAAACTTGGTGGGATGAGTTCGAGGACGACTTTAATCAGGCCATGCTGCTTCTCGAAGCAGAGACCTGCAGCACTGCTCCAAGTTGTGTTGCCGCCACACATGGGCCTCGCCTTGCATCATCGCTGGTCAAGGCACTTCATTTCACCACCAAGCGGTGTCGTGAGCCCGCGATTCGGCGCAGGGCTCATGCCATGCTCCAGGAGCGATTGTGGGATGCTTTTGCGCAATCCATGTGGCCGGCGCATGCCTCCCGCGATCAGAGCCCTGGGAGCTATTCCTTTGCGTCCGCCATCAGGGCCATGATAAAGCTGGAAGAAGAAGCCTGGCACACATGCAGAGAATCGCCTAGATGCTACCAGGGCAAGTATATTTGCCACCGGCATCGTGTGGCAAAAGTTTATGCTGATCATGAGCGCCGAGCGGTGATTCTGCGTACGGTGGGCAATTTCATGGACGGCTCGCCTGGGACATGTGTTGCTGGATAAATCCGTAGAATAGTTAAAAGACTCTGAGTATCGCTGAATGTTTATATTTGAGTTTTATGCTGTGTTTATGGCTTGGATAATTACTGTCTGTAGCGTGCACCCAGCATCGTAAAGTAGTTCGTTGCAAATTAAAAGAATTGTCGGTATTCTCATTATGCGTCCCGTCAAACCCTACAACAGCCCGTGGCCTTGGATTTTGGTATAATAAGTCACGGCTCCAGCTGTTTCCACGTTCCTCGACAATTCCCTTCTACAAATTCCGGTTTTCGGTTGCAGCCTTTTTACTCGCCGCCCCACTTTACTCGAATGGTATCTACAATTCACAGTTGTCCTCCTCCTAACACACGTCGCGATACAAAAACTCCTTCCGCCCCGTCCATTTCAACCTTCAACTCTGAAATTTCACGCGCATGAAATTGTAAGCCATCCCACGGCAATGTACCCCAAAAGTTCCTTGGCGAAGGCGCCGACAGCCACCAAATTGGCGGCGAAGGTGCGTAAGAAGCCCATCATGGAAACCTCCAAAAAGCAAGCGGCTGCCACCAAAAATAAAGTCGAGTCGAGTAAGTATGCAACCCATCTTGCCACCTTTTTGCGCGCTGCCTCTACTCACTACGCTTTCTTTTAGCGAAAACTTCGACGTCCACCTCCGACTACCCGGCCGACAATCTGCCTAACGGCACGACGCCTATCCAACTTCAGTCTAGCAAACGGAAGAAAGCTCCAGAGGCCAGTAGGGAGCGTCCATTGAAGAGAAATAAAACTGTGCTGGAAGATACTCAGACCGATTCTGATGCCCCTCGATCAGCCCCCCCTCTGAATGAAGCACCTACTCAAGCCCTCTTGATCTTCCCCTTTGGCAACGGCGAGAACTGCGAGCTTGGCCTCGGACCCAACACAACGGAAGCCCTCACTCCTTGCGTCAACCCGTATTTCGATGCTAGCAGCCGTTCATCATCGAAACCCCGGGTCGTTCAAGTTGCATGCGGGGGCATGCACACCGTTGTCCTGACGTCGGACAACGAGATTGTCACCTGGGGTGTCAACGACAACTGGGCCTTGGGACGGGATACGGAGTGGGACGGCGTGTATCGGGATGAAGACAAAGACTCGAGCGATGAGGATGAAGGCGAGCTGAACCCGCACGAGTCCATTCCTGCTACGATCCCCTCCACCAGCTTTCCCCCGGGCACTAAACTTGTCCAGGTTGCAGCAGGCGATAGCTGCAGCTTCGCGCTTACCAGCCATGGCCTCGTCTATGGATGGGGTACGTTTCGGGTAGGTTTACCACATAATGCTTGGCTTTCAGCTCTTAATACCTTATACTAAACTAGAACGCCTCGGGCGACAATGAGTTTGGGTATAATTCCCAAGGACAACTCATAGAGAAGCAGAAAACACCCGCTTGCATCGTTGGTCTAACAAATATCATACAAATCACCTGCGGGGCGAACCACGCATTAGCTCTCGATGCCAAGGGATCCGTATGGGGATGGGGCGCTCATGAACAAAATCAACTTGGCCGTCGCCTCTTCGGCCGCCACCAAGAGCATTTGAAGCCTCGCCTGGTCGAAGTCTGCCGCGGACGAGCCAAATATATCGCATCCGGAGAGTACCACTCCTTTGCCATTGATCATGACGATAATGTATGGGGCTGGGGACTGAATAGCTTTGGCGAAGCTGGCTATGCAAAGGAAGCTGGTAGTGACTTGACCGTCATGCCATACCCAATGAAGATACCTGGCTTAAGCGGCAAGGGCGTCACCGTTATTGATGGCGGCGCTCACCACTCTGCTGCAGTGACAATTGACGGCGAATGCTTAGTTTGGGGCCGAATGGATGGCGGACAACTGGGTATCAATTTTACCACAGAGCAACTCGAGAACAAAGACATGATCCGATATGACGAGCGTGACAAGCCACGCATTTGTCTTCACCCGACTGTCATCCCAAGCATTGGGGAAGTTACTCATGTTGCTTGTGGCACTGACCACACGATCTTCGTTGGCAAAGACGGCACCGCATATGCTACAGGATTCGGGTCGTCGGGTCAACTTGGACTTGGATCGTATCGCGATGTGGATGTTGCACGACAGGTCAAACGCAACTATAGTAAGGATACGGCCATCACATGGGCCGGTGCTGGTGGTCAGTTCTCTATTGTTGCTGGGCCTGTTAACAACAAGTAGCCCATTGTTGTACATATGATATCTCCTGCTCGCTTTTCTCAGCTCCTTTGTCCACCAGAGTCTGAAGTAGTTTAATTTTGTAGACAGGCACCCGTAACCTCACACCTATACTCCCAACAATACCCGGCCCAAGCACATAGCTAAGCATCCAGCCCCTAACTGAGCCCCTTAGTGACAGTTTCCAGTATATAAAACCTAGTCGGAACACCTTAATAGTCTTCATCTTCCTCTAGGAAATGACGACGGTAGTTCTAGGCAGCGATCATTTGAGCAATCTCCTGAGGAAATCTAGGGAAACCTATTAAATCAACAATTATCACTGTAGCTTATCTAGGAAAGAATAGCTTAACTTACACGTAGCCCATTGCCTCACATTCTATAACATGACGCTTAATGGCGTTCATGTCTTTCTCAACTTGCCTCAGAGTGTTGGCGTGCCTTTCCATAGGTTTAATCCAGGTCTGAGCCATCGATCTGGCGTGCTCTTATTCCCGAACCATGGATTTATTATCAATGCGAATAGACGGTAAGAGTGAAGCCTTAAGAACAATCCCGGATAGTCGGAAACGAGAGCGTCACCGTGGTAGCGACTACTTGGAAGGTTGAAAAACTTACATCGGCGGGATCTTGCAAAAGCCCCACGGCAAATTCGTTCTTCATGCTCGATTGGCGCTGTATCTCATTGGATTTTCTAGTCCAAGAGTCGACGAACCCCGCAGCCTCGTGGTATTTGGCTGAATACTGGTCATGTTTTTGCTGAACGCTTCGGAGATTGCGGGCAATCTCCTTGCTGGAGGTGCAGATGGCATCGTGTTTCTACAACAGGGACGGAGGATATTTGTGTGAGAAGAAGAATAAGCGATGGTAAGAGTCGTTGTCTTGATGGGTGCTTCATATGCAGGGCTAGGGCAGCCAGGGTGCGAGTCACGTTCGTACAACGGCCTAATTATCTTTTTCACCCAAATTTTCTGCAAGATAACAGAGTCGCTTCAAACCCAGTGAAACTTTTACAGAAACCCCCAAAGGCCAATGCTATAATACATACCAGTATGATATAGAATAGACAAGTACACTAGTGCCAACTGTCTGACCGCTCCTGTAGAGTGACGCAATGCTTCCGCAGATACAATTACGGCTACACCGGCACTCAATGTCATGCACCTCAAGCATGTGGCTATTGCGCTGAGAAGCATGGGACAAGACAGTGTAAGCATCGGGGGATGGGGAATGCAATCTTCGATGTGCAGTATGCAAAGATGGCCACTGCCTGCCCGGCGAGACGAAAGGAATTATGCAGGGTTGAGCAGGCCAAGGAGGCCCGTAGTATTTATTGGCACGTACCAATGAAGGAAAGCATAACCAAGATAATAATCTAGCAGATACAAGATATATCCGGCCTGGAGCAGCGCACCCGTGTTAACCAGGCTCCCACACAAGTAGCTACCCAAAGACCTGTCGGATACCAAGGCGGCATAACTCAAAGAACTAAGAGAATCTCAACCTCGCAAGAACCACACCAAGCAGAACTACCGATTGACGTCATTTCCCTATAGGAGTCATCAATTGCATCATCTGTTGAAGAGCAGTGGGAAACGCTAGTCGCTCAACGACAGTCTATGGATGAATCCAACCAACATGGGCCAATTGAGTCGATCGACCCACAGCTTTCACAACAGAAGACTGTTACCTCGCGGACCAACAGGAGAACGGCCAGCATCAACCATTCGACTACCTTATAGACACTCTAGAGCAAGTAGCGCTGCAAAAGGCCGACATATGGCTGCAACAAATGGGTACTAATTTAGGCGGCGATTGGCGTTGTGGTCCCTAGCAACAAACCCTCGCACGGCTCAAGGAGAAGTTTGAACGATGTCGTTGTCCGGAAAACCAGGAGATTCATAGCAACTGGCCAACAGACAACTGCAAACCTTGGTACGCGAAACTAGCGATAGGCATGTGGACATCAACCCTCAATATGTGGAGTATTTTGCCTGCATGTCAACAGGGTCTTGAAGCAATGACCCGGCAAAAATTGAGGAAGCTCAATTTGTGAGATCCGGTAGCTCTGATAGCAACACCGATCCTATGCTTCAGATCCTCCGTGCTCACTGCCTAGGCCTGCTTAAGGGCTGTGGTCATGTAAATGAACATATAAAGCTGGAACACAATTTCTTGGGGAAGTGGCAATTGAGACTCAATGTCGCTTCAGGTGTTTCTATTAATATTGCTTGAGATTTTGATACAACGGCCCCTGGACGCAAAATATCAGGCAATTATTGTGTAAAAGAAGCTATAATGCATGCCCGGTGTATAGTTCATGGGATTATGATCGGAGCCCCGGTTCGTCGCCTTGCGAGATGGTAGACAAGAGAGGTGGGGGTTGCATGAACGAGAGAAGAGCGGCATGGATATACTTCGAAATCCTATCAAAAGTGGCAACGACAAGAGCTGGCATGACACGTGCGAGCTGACAGAGGTTAATCTTACCGAGAATCGGGTCTGGGCGTGTCGGTAAGTTGCCAGCCACCAGATCCAGAACATCTAGATGAAAAGCACGAACATCTTGACTCAGTAGGAATATGCATTGATTTAGTAAGATAGTATTATTCTAGTATTTTTTTAAAGGTAGTCCTTATAATCATAGCTCGCTTTCGTCATTTCGCATCATGTTGGCAGGGAAGCCGTCTCGACCAGCCCCCAGCTTAGATAGTAGTAGGGGCGGCGTCGATAGTGGTCGTGATGGTGGTGGTCTATGAAACCCGTGAGTAAAAAAAAACCCTCAACAGCCCGTCAATGTGGGAATCCAGAACAACGGGCACTTACCGGAGTGACGGTAACGGCATCGCCAGGGATGCCCCAGCAGGAGCAGGCGCTAGCATAGCGGACGGTGCCAGAGCAGGCCGTGGCGTACCACGGAGGGGCGACGGTGGAGGTGACGGTGCTAGAAGAAGACAGAGCGTTAGCTAATGAAGCTGGAAAGGAAAGAGCGCATTCTGGTAGGGTCGGCATCTCTTACACGGCGGGAGCGGTAATGGTCTTTTGCATGAAGCGGCTGCAGTCGCCCTGGGCGGCGGTGAAGAAGGCGTCGCCGCGACGGGTGCCGGTGACGGCGCGGGCGCAGTTGTCCGAGTCGCACTGGCCGGTGCCGGTGGCGATGGCGGCGGCGGCGAAGGCGACGAGTCCGAGAAGGCGAGCCATGGCTGTGATGGGTGGTGTTGAGGTATTTGGGTGTTGGATTTTGGTTTCGAAGAGGTAGAGTGAAGCTGGAGTGGTTGGTGATGAGAACTGATCATGATTCCTGAGCTGGGAAGCACGGATATATATAGTTTGATAACTCGTTGCTATCCACCAGTTTCGACACAGACTTGCCAGCATTTACACGGACTAACATCATTTACACGGCCTCGCCAGCATCGTCGTCTTGCGGTCCCTGCAAGACTAACCAAATTCGAAGTGGTCGCGCCTGTTAGCCCAAACAAGGACATAACATTTAGAGTATCGCATGTTTACCAATCTCGTCAAACCAATCCATAGGCTCAGCTTCAAGCCATGGGCGTGTTGTCGCCCAACAGGTGGCACCCGCATGCATTGAGGCTCACAAGTCTAGAACAGGCAAGACTGAACCCCGTTGGCAGGGGACATGCTCTAGCCACAGTAGCCAGACCCTTGTTAGCAACGCTTGAGGCTTCTCAGCTGGGCCATGGACTGGGGGGGTCGACTGGCGGCGGCTAGTGGAGAGTCAATCAATAGTCTGTGTTTGCGACTCAGCTCTCGGTAACATGCTGCGGAGATGGCGGAAGCCATTGTTGTGCATCTGGCACCAACAGGTCATCGTGACAGGCTCGTTTACGCCAGACAATGCATACAATGGGCGCCCAAAGCGGCCCGCGCTGCAGGTAGGCTAGATAGGCATTGGGCGGGAATGGAAAAATGGAAACAATGGCCGCCACGCCATCTCGGACCTGACACGTCCATTGGTATTCAGCCTCTTTTTTATTTATGTTTTTCTCTTTCCTTTCCGACATACAGGGCTGGTAGCGACGGACCGAGCGGTGGCGCTCATCAACAACTCGCTCGCTAGGGCCCGTGGCCGCCCATTATTGGTCATAATTAAAGGGATTAATGAGCTGCCCAAATGAATGGTGGCTGAAAGGGCAGATAACAATAGCTCAGAGCTACAATTCTAACAATAAAAGCTCATGTACACATGTGTTCAGCCAGTGTCCAGGAAACGTCTAATAGCTCACGGCACCTCTGCACCTCTGCACCTCTGCACATCTGACCTCTGCACTCTGCAACTCCGCTGTAAGGCTACCAACGTTAATAGCGGTGAGCTCCAAGCTCAATCTTCGGAGAGTTTTGGAAAGCAGGGCCAGCCTCATCCAGCCACAATATCCAGTTTGTCAATGGATCAATTTGGTTTTCAGCCGCGCCAAAACTGCCAAGGCCAGCCGCGAAAATGCCATAGGCTCATTAAATAGTCAAATTCGTATTCAAGTGGATATACTACTTTTCATCACGCATTACCAAGCACATCTCCTTCGCGCTGTGTAGAACAGACGACAAGACTCGGCTAAATTCCGCATCCCGATTTCCCCCCCCCTCGCCTACTCCAGGTAGTCCTCCTTCGTCTCGTGCGCAATCAGGTCAAACATGGGCTTCGCGCTGAACCACGCCGTGACGTGCTGCCCGAGCGTCTCAAACGTCTCCTGCGCCTCGTCATGCCCGACCTCCTTGAGCGTCGTCCCCGGGTGCGCGCACGCCGCCATCGCCACCAGCTGCGAGTGGCACAGGCTCTCCAGCGCGACGAACCAGAAGACGGCCGCCTCGATGGACGCGCCCGCCGTCAGCAGGCCGTGGTTGCGCAGGATCGCCGCCTTCTTGCCGCCGATGGCCTCCGCGATGGCGTCCCCTTCCTTGCCGCCGAGGACGATGCCGTCGAACTGGTCGTACAGGGCGATGTCGTTGTAAAAGGTGCAGGCATCCTGCGAGATGAAGGCGAGGGGCAGGCCGAGGCCGGAAAAGGTCCGCCCGTAGAAGGAGTGCGCGTGGGCGGCGCAGATGACGTCCGGGCGCGCGCGGTGGACTAGAATCACAGCCTTAGCGTCCCGTGGAGTGGTTTGAGGATCTTGGTGGCATTGACTTACCGGCGGCGTGGATGAGAAACGCAGATTGGTTCACCAGCTTGCAGTCGCCGTGGTCGATGACCTTGCCCTCGTCGTCGAGGCGCACAAGGTCCGATCGCTTAATCAGCGCAAACGAGACGCCGAGAGGGTTCACCCAAAACGTGTCCGGCTCGACGGGATCCTGATCTCATCCAAGCGTCAGTCATGATCGTGAGTAGAATACCACCAGCCCGCGGAACTCTTACCCGGAGAGTGATGTGGCCGGCAACGCCCTCGTTGAGGCCGTACTTGGCAAAGATGCGAAAGGCGGCTGCGAGCCGGCCCTTGAGGTACTCGCGCTCCTCGCGCTTGTCCTCAAAGGTGCGAGGCTGCGGAAAGCCACCCTTTGCGGAGAAGTCGTACCGGAACTTCTTCTCCTCGAGGGCAGCGGCCTTGTCGGGGTTGACTGAGGGAGCCATTACAAGATTAAAACTTTTTTAGGTGGAGGGATAATGATGATGACGATGCTTGTGAGGGGTAGCCATTGCAGCGTCAGCAATGGCACGTAATAAACTTGGAGATAACTATGGTGGTAATAAGCGCTACTCGATTTGTCGAAAGCCTCGGCCGGAGGGGACAGGGGGACTGTCAGCCGGGGAAAGCGGGGTCAGAGATCGGCCGGTGAGATTGCCCAACGGGGATGTCCTCACTGAGTGTGGGATGTCGAGAATGTCGGAGGATTAAAAAGAAGATGCAAAGGCGGTTTGAATTATTTCCAGATCATTTACCTAGGCAATTGTGAGCTGAGGGTATTTATTGAGCTGCGTGACGGACAAGACGCCCGGAGCGTGCCAGCAAGTCGGTTTCCAGGAGAAGAAGCAACAGAACATTGCATAACAAAGTCGTGCGTAAAGAGGCATTTCTCCAGCTCGAAGTTTCTGTTTCAGCGCATACGGGATGCAGTTGGTGAATTAGACGCTGCGACAGCCTGGACAACAACTCGGCGAGTTCAAAGAAGTCTATAGGGTAGGTAGGTATGTATGTTGGCGATCGGTGTACCAGCTCCGGGTACGATCCTTATGCGAAGCCGCCCTTGCAGCCTCGGTAGAAGGTTCAGAAAGATCAAACAGCTCAATTTCTATCAATTAGTCAGTAATGAAGAGATTATCAGAAATGACCGCTCTATCCAGGTTGTGGCGTCGGAGCTCCGACTACACGGCGCCAGCAAGAGGCCGTTGTACCGATCCGGCCACGGTGCAGCGCCGCTCGCATCAGTGGCGTCTAGGTAAGGCAAGTCGGCCATGCGACCGAGCTGAGCTGGTAGAATGTAGGAAAAGTGCTATAAATAATCAGCTGAACTCCTTCTTTTTTTTTGTCACAGTCGCTTCCTTCGCTGCTAGGAAATACGTGCATCTTTTACAACTTGGACCAAACAGCCCAGTCTTACACCCGCGATGACCTCTCCCAGCGAACCTCAAGACCCAACCACCACGGACCAGTGGCTGGTCTGCACCGCATGTGGCACCCAATTTCCCACCTCCGACCGCGCCGCCCTCACCAGCTGCTTCATATGCGACGACCCCCGACAATTCGTCCCCGCCTCGGGCCAGTCCTTCACCACCACCGCGCAGCTCAAGGCCTCGCGGTACCAGAACACCTTTACGCCGTACGCCCGCGACCCGCGCATCACCTACATCCGCACCGAGCCCTCCTTTGGCATCGGCCAGCGCGCCACCCTCATCGCCACGCCCGCCGGCAACGTCCTCTGGGACTGCCTCACCCTCCTCGACGACGCCGCCGTCTCCCGCATCCGAGACCTCGGCGGCCTCGCGGCCATCGTGATCAGCCACCCGCACTTTTACAGCGCGCACGTCGTCTGGGCGCGCGCCTTTGCGTGCCCCGTGTACCTCGCCTCCGAGGACGCCCCGGCCTGGTGCGCCGTGCGCTCCCCCGCGCACCAGCAGCTGCTGACCGCGCCGGAGACGAGCATCCTCCCCGGCGTGACGGCGGTCAAGGTCGGCGGGCACTTCCCGGGGTCGCTGGTGCTGCTTTTTGAGAGGCACCTTTTTGTGGCGGACACGTTCATGCTGACGCTGTCCGGCGTCGGCGACTACGGGGGGAGGGAGAGGCCGCAGGGGCTGAACACGTTCTCGTTCATGTGGAGCTACCCGAACATGATACCGCTGGGGGCGGACGAGCTGGCGGGTATGTGGGAGAGGGTACGTGGGTGCGAGTTTGAGGCGGCGCATGGGAGTTTTGTAGGGCGCGACTTGGAGGACAGCGCGGTAAAGGCGAGGTTGCTGGAGAGCATGCAGCTGCAGGTTCGTGCCATGGGGCATTCCGCCCATCCGCTGTTGGAGGAGGTGCTCTGAAGATGGTTGGCATATCAAGAAACCATCTGTCCAGCTTTCGGGACATTGTTGTTCTATTTGATATTGTCTTGATGAACTGCTATTTGGATCGGCAAGTACATCTTTGGAGAGCCGCGATTTTTCTCGGGTTGAGTCGCCAATCTCTGTACTATCTGAGTTCGCTAATGAATAATTTACATTCATATGGTACACATGCATTGCCTCGACAAGTCTAATAGCCAGCCGCATGCATGACTGCTGGGATGCTGCGGTGGGTTATCGCAAGCTGGCGATTTCAGGCCCAGTGCATGGATTCGCACCGGCAGCGGACAGTTAAGCATTAATTGGCGCTGGCAGTTTGTATGAGGTTGAGTTCCATGCATCGTATTCTAGGACGCTGATGCTGAGATTTGAGACTCGGTAGGATATGGACTGACCTGATGTACTATGCCACCGTGGACACAGTCTTTATTTAAAAGCAGCAAACAGAATATCACCTTACATTTGTCAAATAAGCATAGAGCGCTACGAAAATAACCAAGGAGTCGAAAGATATGTGCGATGTGGGACTGTGCTGGTCGCAGCACCCTCAACCCCTCCTGGTGCAAGCAAGGATACTTGCAAGAAAAACCGAGGCCTTCCGCGGCATGCGCACGACAAACTCCGTTCTGCTTTCCTCGCAGCTCCCTGATTCTTTACTTGGTCTGGTAGGCAAGTGGTGTTCAAAGTTCTCTCCATGTTTCTATCCAGGTACCATGGCCATGAGATGGAATGCTTCTGGTAGTGATGCGTGTGACGCGCTGCTCTAGAGGCTGTACATGGACTTGAGAATGTACATGACCAACAAACTTACAATCACACATATAATACACAGGTGTAGTCTTGGAAAAAACAGCAAATGGTATTAGTAACAACTGAATACATATTTAACATCCTAGCAAGTGAATTCCTGCACAGACTAGATGACCAAAACGGCAGCCTCCCCCTCAACACCGTCGTCGACACGTATTTAATGCCACTTGTCGGGTCCAAAGTAACCCTTCTCCGGCAACTGGGTCAAAAGAACCAGTGGGTTGTCACCACCACCACCATCCATGGTGTTGCCGTTGACCAGGTTGCCCCACCAGTTGAGATCGACCTCCTTCCACTGCACCGCGAAGAAGATGATGATGGCCGAGAAGGCGACACCACCCTGCAGGCCGGCAGCGAGGACGTAGTTGTACTTCTCCCACCACGCCAACTTGTAGCGCTTGAGGTACCACATAAAGGCCACCGACACGTAGACGCCGCCGATCCAGTACGACAGGTTCGTCGGCGCCCAACCGGCGATCATGCCGTTGAAGATGAGCGACGGGTGGACGTGCTTGAGCCACGAAGCGGGGGTGAACAGGGCGACGTTGAGGAGGCCGAAGACGCCGGCCGGCAGGGACGCCTTGGCGCCGGAACGTACCCGCGGGCCGAACCGCTTCGCCGTCCACCAGACCAGCGCGAGGAGGAAGCCGAGCAGGAAGCAGTACTTGATGGCCGGGTAGATCTGCGTGAAGACGCGCTCCGGGCCGAGCGCGCCCCACACGACCGACGACGAGAAGAAGACGACGCCCGAGGCCGCGCAGGTGAAGTGCTGCTTCTGATCCGGCGTGCAGATGCCCTCGATGGAGTGGTCCACGAAGTTGACGACGGCGTAGCAGACCATGGCCGTGATGAGCGCGGAGATGACCTGCCCGCGGTACATGGCGCGCGGCGGCACCTTGGCGTAGAAGCCCATCTTCTGGTCGCCCAGATAGTTGTCGGCCTGGCCGTTGATGTTGTAGCCGAAAGCCTTGACGAACATGAGGGCCTCGGGGTGCCCCGGGAGCGCGTAACCGACGATGAGCTCGGTAACCACGTTCAGGCCTTCGGTGGTGCCGGAGATGGCGTAGAGGTAGCTCATAGGAATAAGGAACACCAGGTTAAGACCAACCACGAAGAAGATGGTCCACACCGGGGTATCCAGCTGCTTCCAGGTCGTCAGGATGACGATGGCAAAGATGAAGGCGACGAGCGCGATGGAGAGGAACCACCAGTCGGGAACCTCGGGGTAAGAACGCATGAGGTTCGTGAGCGGGTCGTCAAAGCCGTCGTAAATCGACTCGCCCTCGGTCGCCAACGCGTTGATATGCTGAGCGGCTTCGCGGAAGCGACCGGTAAGGACGGCCTTGGTGGCGCGAGCGGTGCAGGTCACGGTTCGCTTGACCAGCGTGACGGCCGAGCCAACCATGGACTTCATGGAACGAAGCAAAGGCCTCCAGGCGTCCAGGCAGATGAAGACCATGGTAAGCGGGTAGAAGGCAAAGAAGGCGCCGTACAGCAGCAGGTTGCCAGCAGAGTAAAACGCCGGCGAGTACTCCTCGTAGGCGGTCTGGTTGATGACGGCCGTGCCGGGGACGAGAATCTTCTTGATCTGGTAGCGGCCACCGGTGTTGTTGAAGATGCCGGAAGAGTTGATGGGCAGGTAGCCGGTGTTGGCCGTGTTGGTGAAGTAGAGGGCGATGATAATGAGACCACCGAGAAGCGCTCCCGCGAATTGCTGCACGCAGGCGAAGAACGGGGTCTGTAGGGGCTGGAAGGCGTAGCTCATGACATTCCAGTCAAACGTGGGAATGGGGTTAAAGCCCAGGCCGGACTGAGAGCCGGTGATGAGGTTAACCTTGAAGTTGTTCGGGGCGATCCAGCACATCCAAGCGAATGTGCTGAGCGCGGTGAAGAGGTAATCCGGAATCCAAAAGTACACGAACATGGTGCCGAAAACGAGGAAGAAGAACTTGTACCGTGAGATTGTCCATCCATGAATAGATTCACGGGTCTCACCCACGAGAAGCGCTCTGTTGAGGGCGACCGTAGGTAGAACACTGGGCCAGATCGATTCAATGGGGTAGATGACGAAACGACGCATAAGGCCAGAGAAGCCAATACCCATCATCTGAGTGGACAGCAGAAGAAGAATACCGTATCCGGGGGTGAGCCATTTGTCCTGGTAGAAAATTTCTTGCGTTTGAAGGTTGTAGAAGACATAGGCGGTACCGAGACTGACGTTGAAGATGATCGTTGACAGCATTTGCTCCTTGTATGTCCAGGGACCAGGGTTGAGGGAGATGCGCTTGCCTCCGATGGTCACGCCCCAGTCCGGAAGGGCATAAGCACAGGCAAGACCGCAGGGGTACAGGAGAATCTGGATGACGGCAGACGAGAGGTTGATGTTGGGGAAGCGCGACATGAAGAGCGCGTTGGTAAACTGGCCGATGACGGCCCAGATGTAGCCCAGCAGATGCGCGCGAATCGTCTCGCAGGTCATCTCGGGGTCATCCTCGGGCGTGGTGATGGCACGGACTTCCGGGTACGGCGAGTAGAACTTGTTGAGGGCGGCCTCGGTGCGAATTTCCAGGGACCAGTCCTCCTCTTGGCCCTTGTCTGACGGGCCCTCGAGGAGGAGCTCCATCTTCTCGCGCGTGGCGGCGGGGAAGTTGTAGTCATACTCGTGGTACTTGAGCATGTCGATGAGGATCTGGCGAGCCTCCTCGGTGGAAATCTCGTCAATCTTGGAGACGACGAGCTTCAAGTCATCGCGGGGGGCGACGGCATCGGTGCCGTCGCCGCCGAACGCGGAGACGACATGGGTCAGGTCCGGCTTGTGGTCGATGTTGTCGTCCGGGTTGCCGCGAGGGGAGGCGACGTCGTGGGCGACGACGTCGTGCTCAAAGGGCGTCTTTTCGGCCATGGCTGCGCCGGTGGTCGAGGGTAATAACGCCTCGAGTAAAATAAATGGCTATGATGAATACTAGTCGGCCCAGAACTGCAGAGGTGGCAGCTGAACTCTGAGCATGCACACGGACACACGGACACACACACACGAGATGGGAGACAGAAGAGGACCATGCGATGAGAGGGGGGGTTTCATCAAGAATATATATCTACGAGGCGGCAGCTGAGTAGCAAATTCCAAGCAGCATACTCCAGACACGGCAGGAATCGTTGGGTAACCTTACGAACTGTTTTTGGAACACAGAGGCAAGGCCGCTAACTGGTGGCGCGGAAGGACGGCACATGCAACGCTGCACACTCGCACAAGTGAAGCCTGTCCACCTTCCTATATAGATTGGCCAATTCAAGCCTCCTGGACAAAGATTCCCTTGTGAGAAAGGGGAGCGCGGGCCAGCATGGGCCAATCCGAGCGCCGCTAGTTGCGATATACATTGCTGACGTAGCCACAGTGGCCATTGGTAGGCCGGAGGTAACTGATCGCGTGGAAGGTAAGAAGGGGTCTTGGCAGAGAATTAGGTCCAACGCCACCGGGAAGGAGGGGGGCCAAAGGGTAGATTTACCAGTAACTATAGAACAGAACTTGTGCTGGATGTGGCTGGCCAGCTGACCGGGTAGGGGGCCCAGTTGCTGGATGTCAAGCCGGCCCCTTGTGCCACGGAAAACCTAGTGTTGTGGTGGTTATCAGCAACTGGCGCTGGCGCCTCTGTCCAGGAGTCGAGCCCGGCACCCCTGTCCAACCCGTGGCGCGCATTCAGCTTGATAACTAACGCCAAAGAGGAAGTTGGCCCAGCTATCTCAGGAACTTTTGTCTGGGGCTTGATCCCCTAGACGCCAGCCACGCGGGGGAAGCCGAGCTACTTGGGTGTGCCACTAGGTACCAGAACAAATGGTCGCCAAGGCCGCTCTGCAGTGAAATCCATCGCCCAGCCTTTTTTCTCCAAGCTCCAAGCATTGGCATCGCAGGCGTTTTTCATGGCTGCCGCCGGGCCAAGACTTTGCAGTGTGGTGTTAGGGCCGGCTTCCGTCTGGGCATTCCTCAGTGGCGTAGGGCAATCGCGCCATCACCAGAGTCATGGCAACATGAACCTCAGCTGCGGACAACGCTGCATTTTAGGTCCAAGTTGGAGTAGTATCTGCAGCATGGACGGAGTAAAGAGGTGCGACTCGCAGTGGATTTCCCAGGTCTCATTTCAGCTTGAGGCGACGAATCATTCATCGCTCCTGCTCGACCCCGTCAACTAACTAGTAAGCGCCTTATCTGAACCGAATTGGCGGACGTCTTGCTTACTCTCCCTTTTACCTGCTGGCAACTCAGCTTTCTGCGGGCGACCTGCAACCTGCATGCCACTTCACCCTTCTCGGACGATATCCGAGTAGCATCCTATAACAGGCCCGTTACCCCGGTCCGATTCTCAGGAAGAATTCTCGAACCCGTTGGCCTCATTCCAGCCCTTTCGCCCTAACTGGTAAAATCAGCACTTAAAAAAAGAAGGTCGAAATGCGTTTAGAAACAAAATGAACGAGGTGATCCTGCAAATACCGTTTTTGGCGCCGCCTTCCCCGCATACTGACGCCACACCAAATGGTTAATTGCGCTGGGACAATCACGTAAAAATTACATGTGGAACAAGTTTGCTTGGCCCGAAGAGGAAGGGGCCAAAACAAGCACCCAATAGGCGTTTGGTCCCTCATGTGGCGTGCTGACTCGTAATGATCACTGGCCTGATGGCGAACTACCAACTAAAGTGATTGACCAGTAGTTCCGGGGCAGAGACAAATTTGGAACGCTCCCGCCATATCTTATCTGAATTGCTAATGCCAAAACCTCATAGATATACTCCACTCCGCATGATACCGCAACACTCGTGCTGCGCCGGTGTCATGTCATGGGGCTATCGATGGCACTCTAAACCGGAACATTCCTACGTGTCGGGTGATTGAGTATCTCTCTAGCGCTAATAAGCTGTTGAGCTTGGTTCCATCTATCAGTGTGTCATGTCTATGATGTAGAGACTTTGAGATTGTATTTTGCTATCACGTTCCGTCGAATGTAGCAGTCACGCATGGCCTTGACGCAGGCTTGACAACCCTGAGAAAAGAGAGGGAAGAAACATGTACTGGTAATAACAAACTTGCACAATTATATTAAAAACCCTTCTTTAATTATAGATCTTTTTGCGTTGCGCAAAAGCAAGGGTGCTATTCACAGACTAGACCGCGGGGTAAAGGAAGGTGGTTACACCAGAGTACATGCGCGCACGAGACCCAACCTGTGTTATCTAATTCCTAGCATCTCCCACTGCACAAATTGCAGGAACTTTTAAGCTAAACCCTTCTTTTAACATGCCGAGCGCCGCGCATTAGATCCGTGTGGCTTCAACGAGGCGCCCCGCGCCAGCTCAACATCTCTCGCCTGGCACCGGCGAACAGCTTGGACATGGAGGGTTTCATCGGCTCATCTGTCAAATATTGGAATTGTTCCATCACGCCACTTTTGAGCCTTGTCTTTTACGTAGCTGAAGGATTTTCCAACTTAAAATCGTCTCAGCACACCACCACCACCACCACCACCACCACCACCACCACCGGTTGCGGTCTCGCTTGCGTGTCACAAGGACATGCAAAACAACGTGATCAACACCGTAGACTTCTGAGTTTCATCAAGCGTCAATCTGGAAAGCCGAAATCTTTACCCAATTGCAGTCGCTCTTCCTCGATTACCAGTGTATCGATGTTTTAATGTATCACGAGAAGTTTGGTGTCGTCCGACGCCCTTCCTGCTAGTTCGCGGTTGGCGTTTATGTGGCGTTCCTTGGAACAAGCTGCCAAGTCGGCTCAGCGGCATCGACTGGCCATTCTATTGGTCTTGTCCGGCCGCGAAGGGATTTTTGTTTCGCGCTTGTCCGCGTGCGCTGTTCTGGGCTACTCCGAGGGAACTTTTGTATCCCACGATAATGTGCGTCGGCGCCACCAGCGCATCACTCTCATTTCCTTTGTTACTTATGCAAGCTGCAATCTTGGCCGTATTGAAAATAGAAAGGTAATGTCTGCAGAAATCGTTTCGTAAATAGGAGGTTGGCCATGTCCGCAGATCAAGTTGCCACGCATCGCAGCAGACTGTTCTTGAGAACAATCCCGTACTCGATTAACTTGGTAATTGCTATATTGTGCTGTCCTTCGAACAGAGTAATAGAGTTTCTTTTTCCATGTAATATGAGTTAGCAATTTTAATTCTTCCATATAATATCAAGAGAATATTGCCGCTATGGTTTTATAACGCCGAGGTCTATGAAGCATTACGTACTAGGCGTTTTACTTTCACTCCAAATTATTCCGACGGCTACCACGCGAAATCACTTCCTACATGACTATTGCATCTGAAATAACGGAAAGTATCAATTTGAGTAGGATACGGAAGACGCTCTAATAGGTGCAGTATGTTTGACAAGGCCGTTAAGTTTACTGTCGATAAGTCCATACTGCCGTTCATGCGCCATCCGGCTGATTACAAGATAAAATTTAACGTTCAAGGGTATACTATAGTGTTTGTATGCAGCACCTTATTGCAGTGTTTCTTCAACGCAGTGTCTAGCATCCAAAAGTTGAGTGCCAATGGTGTAAATCTACCTCGCCACCGCCTTCGCATCGCTTAAATCGGTAAGAATTGCTAACCAGAAGAAACTCTATGCCGTATTCAAAGAAAAGTGTTCATGAAAATGAAGCATCAACCTCAACTTTACTCTCACCACTAAATACCAGGCGACCACGATTGCCACTTACCTTGACACAGTGGACACGGATTGCCTCTCGGTTTGGTGAGGGAAGCGTTTTCCTATCGTAGGACTTTAGAAGAAGTGTTAAGATTATATGGAGAGCCAAAAGAGATGCTCGGTGTTTGATTGAATATTTTGAGCCTTTCCAACTTCGTTATATTGGAATAGAACCAGGGTAGCAACCAAAGCTCCAAGTCATTAGTTGCTCAGGTTGATCTTTCATGGAGTTCACGATTTTTTTTTCACGATTTTTTTTTTCCCGGACTGGAGAAGACTGGTTGCTTAACTGGAACGCGCACTTGAGATTGATATCTTTCGCTTGTTTTGTGCTGCGTAGGCATTCTGAAATTTTACCATTCAAGTAGACACTGGCAGTGAGTCCACGACAAGCCATCCACTACACCGGACACGATCGCACACCGAGCGCGCGTAGCAACCCCAATTGCTACTTTATAATCGCAACAGTAATTTCACAGGCACTATTAGTTGCCAACCATCTTCTGATAGTAGAGAGACTCTTCTGTCCACCCGCATGGATGGTGCGGTGGCCATTGGCTTCTCGCGCGACAGAGGCCGAGTATCATGAGAGGAGTTACTACCAGTTTTTCACAGACCTCGCTGTTCTACCGCCGCTTGACGGAGTCCTGAATGTCAATCGAATCTCGACATTGTAGCTGCCAGCTCAAGGAAAAATTGTGTCACGTTATGGAATTAAAGAAAGGTGACCTAGGTAGCGCTAGTCATGAGCTTATTAATGGCTTTGGTCTATGATGCTAAAATAGGGCAGTAGAAAAAGCGCATACTCCCCGCCTCCTACTTGTCCCATCGCTCCGTCGTCACACCAATAACCGAATCAAATTCCCTGACGAGATCCACGTCCGTCTTCACAATGGTGCTGGAGGTACGCCCCAACTGCGAGTACTGCGACAAGGACTTGCCGCCAGCAGCCGTCGACGCACGCATCTGCTCCTACGAGTGCACCTTTTGCGCAGACTGCGCGGAGAAGACGCTGGAGAACGTCTGCCCCAACTGCGGCGGAGGCTTCGCGCCGCGGCCGATTCGGCCTGCCCAAGAATGGCGCAAGGGCGTGTTTTTGACCGCGCAACCGTCGTCTGAGAAGAGGGTGCATACGAAATACGCTCCTGATGAAGTCGCGGCGTTCTCGGCCAAGATACGCGCTATACAGCCGCAGGATCGCTAGCGAACAGGCCATGGCAAAACGCAGGACACTGAGAGGCAAGATTGGTATACAGGTGCTGACCCTTGTTTTGTAAAAATTAACAACTGGAGGCTAGTCAGCGCTAATTATAGAAAGATGAAGAAAGTTAACAGCGAAGAGCGTCGATCATAGGAGAGTAATTTTATGCATAGCTTCGTGTGAGATACCCCAATCGGCAACATACCTCAGATATGCAAGATAGGCTCGCCTGAGCTTAAAGCCCGTAGTAACACGCTCTCGCTGCTGCCGCCAGCAAGTCTGTCATGACTTCTCAACGGTCGCTAATCCACTTAAAGACGCTGCGTCACTGATGTATACACCCATAAATAGCTAGAAAAGCGTTCTTCTACCACCGCTGTCACTGAATCGCGCCGGCAGCGACAGCGGCGCCGGCAGCGAGTGTGTGTAGAGGGATAGGTAGAAATATGAGTACAGTGCTGTTTTTTATTAAAAGATACTCTAGTTTATGTGTGATTCACTAATCAAACGAGGTACTGCACTAAAATGCTCACATAATACTAAGTAACTATACAGATCGCAAAAGCCTCCTAACTATACAAATAGCAACCCACATAATGTTTCATAGCCATGCACTAATCTTATAGAATAGCTTCGACTTAGCCAATGTATAGCCAAGCCTTCTATATTCGCAAAAGAAAAGAGTAATAACAGTTAGTAAACATCTAGTATATCATGAGCGAGCTAATGTCGGGTTCATTTGATTCTCTGGGGCAAACAGACAGGAGGATATCTTACAGGATGGAATCCTGACCGTTTTCAAACTTGACCGTATTCTTGAGAGTTCCCAGTCCAGCAATCTCAACTTCCATACGATCACCATCCTTCAACAGTTGCCGGGGCCTCTGGAATACACCAACCCCTGCAGGAGTCCCGGTCATGACCACTGAGAAAGCGGGAATCGTGGTACCTGGACGGAATGTTAGTCCCAGCTTCCAGGGGTTTATCCAGGGCATAACATACTCTGACTCATCCAGCTCAGGATTCGCTGTGGTAAAAATATCATATCCTTCGCGATAGAAGTATCTTGCTTTACCTCTCCATTGATGCACGTGACCAGCCTCCCTGTCGGCACGCCAGTGGGAAATAAGGAACTGCTCACCAGGACCGGGCCTACTGGCGCGAACTTGTCAAAGGCCTTGGCGTAGAAGAACTGACCACCAGACTGCTCCGGAAGCTGAAAGAAGCGGCAGGTGAGATCGTTGCCTATCGTGTAACCCAGGATGTAGTCCAGCGCTTCCGTCGGCGTGATGTCGCGGCACTCGCGCGACGTGACGAATACGAGCTCGCCCTGATACATGTCAGCGCAGTCCATGCACTCGAGGACTGTTCGCTTACCTCCCAGTCAGGAAGATGCGAAGCGCAAAATCGGCTGAATGGTATAGTCTCGTCAGGCGACGACAGCGCAGCAGCTGGTTTTGTCCATATCGGTGGGTTGACTGGGACGTTGAGCTGGCTTCATGTTAAACCACATGCGCGAGCTGAAAAGGGGACGGAAAATGCCTTACACTAGCTTCAACGGCGTGACTTTTGTAGTTGAGACCAACGCAGTAGATGGGCAGATCCGGTCGTGGGAGTGGTGGGAGTACCTGTGGACGACGTTGTTAGCTGCGCCTGACCCCAGGCAGCGTTGTAGAAAGCACTGACCTTGGCGATTACAACCGTCCTGGCATCCCGATCTTCCAGTAGGTCTTCATAAGTTGGATACGCTTGCACTTTGCTTCCAATTGTGGGATTGTTAGAGCCGACGTTCGCATAGAAGGTGTCGCCTTCCGCCGTCTCGAAGCGGCTGAGGTATTGGAAAGGGGCCATCTTTGGCGCTAGATGATTGGAAAGGGAGAAATATGTGATCGCGCTCGCGCCATTACGAGTATCGTGGGACATTAAAAAGAAGAGAATTGAGTAGTGCTGTTAGTATTTATAAATAATGTCTGCTTTGAAAATCATCTTGTTCGGACTGAACGGATCGAATCGGACATTAAGAAGGCAGTGTGATGGTGGGCAAAAGTCTCTCCGCGGCGAATCTTTCTGAACAAACTGGACGTGGACATGAGCTAATCACAACGGACTGCCAGGGTATTACCAGCTTTCGTATCGCCGTAGTGTTAATGTTGTTGCCTACTTACGCAAACTTTTCTTTGTTTTGTGTTCTCTTCGAATACATGTGATTCCTCCGAGTAGCCTCCGCACCGCATCCAGCGCAACGGACCAACCAAGGCTTCGCCCGTCCTCGGAATTCTCTCACATCGTCTCGAGCTAAATAATAGTGTTGTTTCGCAGCTGTGTCAGGCATGTTATCTTTCCTTGAATGAAAATATTTAAACTCTCGCCATCCTCTTATCCGGCTGCTTCTTCAGCACCATTGCCTACTATAATACATCTCCAGCAGCCGAAACAACATCACGACAATGTCCCTTTGGATCATCAACGCCATTACCATTCTGCCTACTAAATGGCAAAACTGGCTGATGCCACCCTCGAGTGTTCCCATCGTCTACAATGATCCGTCAAAGGTCCAGCTCAGCCGCATTGCTCACGTCTACTTTGAGCATGCCGACTTGACAGCATTCACCAGGTTCGCTGAAGATTTCGGCTTTGTTGAAGAGGCTAGGTCGAACAATCACGTCTTTTACCGCGGATACGGCAGAGATCCCTATGTCTACGTTGCCTCTCAAAGCTCAACACGCAGATCGCGCTTCTTAGGTGCCGCGTTTGTGGCCAAGGACCAGGAAAACTTTGAAAAAGCTGCGAAACTACCTGGGGCAACGCAAAAGAGCCTCGATGAGGCTCCTGGCGGTGGAGAGCTCGTGACAATTGCGAGACCAAACGGCACCTACCTTCACGTGGTACATGGGCAGATTGAGCGCCAAGTCAACCTCACGTCGCCGCCTTCAGCAACGCAAGAAAGCCAAGGCCCTTTCAACACGCCATTCGACAAGCCTCGCAAGGGGCAGTTCCAGCGGTTTCACGATGGGCCAGCCTTGGTGCACAAGCTGGGTCACTTTGGATATGTGTGCAAGGAATTCCAAGAGGAGCTCCAGTTCTACACTGGCAACTTCAACTTTGTGCATTCGGATGTTCTGTACTTGCCACAGTTTCCGGAGACGGATGTCATGACATTTATGCATCTGGATCTAGGCCAAGAATACACGGACCACCACACCTTGTTCCTGCAACGCGCATCACCTACGACCCGCGAGACATATGTTCATCATACTTCTTTCGAGGTCGATGACTTCGACACGCAGCTCATGGGACATCACCATCTCGCCAAAAAGGGCTGGAGGAGCGTTTGGGGCGTGGGGAGGCACGTATTGGGCAGCCAAATTTTTGACTATTGGTACGACAGCTCCAAGTTCAAAATTGAGCACTACGCAGACGGCGATGTGGTCAACGAAAAAAACCAGATGCGAAGAGAGCCTGTAGGACCGCTCTCCATCTGGGGTCCCGAGCTGCCTCGCGATTTCGGAGACAACAAGGCACGATAGTGGATATTCTATTTCGAGGATTATTTGTATTACCATTTTCACGAGAAGCTTTCTGTTTGCAAAGTATTCTATGACCGTTATAAGTCATTTAGCGTAGTGCCTTATACTTTAAAAAAAAAAATCTTCGTACAAAGGTACTTCTAATTTACACACTAAAGACGAGGCACTACAGGTGAAATGCGGCCACAACCGAAACTAATTAACTAATGTTCTGTATATCGGCAATTTATTCGACGGTCACCTTTATCTTTTATGAACCTTTTCCCTCTTAAATTCTTGTGCCTGATTCTAATATTATACCATTCAAAGACTATCAAAGTTGTTCTCGAGAAGCTAACCCAATACTCTATGAATACAATCAGTCCTCCATTATTTCATCGCGCCTCGCAAGAATTTCGGTGCTTCGTAGACCAAGAAGTCCTTCCCTTTGAAATACCAAACAAGGCAACCCATCAGTGTCCAACCTCCAAAATGACCTGTTCCTGTTGATTGCCCTACTGGAACAACCATCATCTTCCGTTGAGCCTCTGCCAAGTACGTACGTGCGCCTTCCTGTTCCATCATGCCTGCGACAATGTTTGCTGCGACAACATCACCTTGAATCGACACTCTGGAGAGAAGTCGATCAGCATGCATGGTGATGTCACCCAGCGCGTAGATGTTGCTGCAGGGTTTGTCTTGCTGCAGCACGCGAAGTTGGTCGTCAACGTTAACCCAACCCCCCGCGTTCAAGAATCGCTTGGGTATAAAGTCGTTGTTTGGAACAACACCAGTACTAGCAATGTACTGGTCTGCCGTAATTGTCCTTCCAGAAGCCAGCTTAACGGACCAGACCTTGGCATCTGCGCTGTATTGGGCGCTTTCCACGCGAGAGCCGAGAATCACATGGACATTCTTCTGGTTCAAGAGTGCAAGGCTTCTTTTCTGGACAGTTGGAGTTGCTCCGACAAGAAGAGCATCGGTTTGCGACACCAATATGATCTTCTTACCGCCCGGGGCCTCTGCAAGTTCACCCGCCATTTCAACCCCAAGCGGCCCTCCGCCACCGATTATGATGCTGTCGGCCGCTGCGAGCTTTTTCTGGGCTTCATGTATAGCAGCCTTCGTATCTTCAAAAGCCGTAGCTTTGAATGGGATCTTGAGCCCAGACTGGCCGAGTGTAGCCGGCGTGGTGCTCCCAGAGGCAATGACGAGGTAGTCGTATCCAAAAGTGTTTCCCGTTGTGACAGCTGAGTCGGTAATGACAGAAGCAGACACAGTCTTCTTTCCATCATCAATAGCTACGGCGACACCTCTGATGAATGTAAACTTGTCGCTGGAATGCTCGCTGAACGCATCGGTGATCGAGTGTAGGTATGAGCTCTGCTGCAAGCTGTTGCTCTTTACCAAGAAACGAGGCGCAGCAATGTTGAAATAGTAATCCTGAGAAGGGGAAATGAGGGTGATGTGTACTCTGGTAGTACGACGGAGTAGCTTTTGACAGACGGCGAGGCCCGCGTGTGAGCCGCCGATGACGACCACGGAAACAGTTCTTTGTGCCATTTTGCAGACGTGGGCTGCTGTGTTATGAGGAAGGATGAATGTGTGCCTCGGCTTGCAAGAACCAAATTTCGGATAGTTAAATGAGTTTAAATAGAAAATGCTAACGATAGAGGTGTAATTTCTGCACAAAGACCACACATGCCACCACCGGCGCAACATTTACAAAAGTTGCTCCGACAACACCATTTATTAACGTTAGCGCCCTAAAGGCGCCGGAGGATCAGCAGCAGGACGCCACTCTAATTTACGCATAGGACAATTGATTTACGCAATGTAATACATGATAATAGAAAGAGTCTCCAGAGCTGCCACCCTAATGTAAGAATTAACAAGGATCATTTGATTTTAAAAGAGCTTGCAGTCCCTGCTTGCTTCCGCAAAATTAACAGCTACGAATGCAAACATGCAAACAGACACCAATAGATTCAAGGCCATCATTATTGGCGGAGGGCCCGTTGGCCTTGCGGCTGCTCATGCGCTTCACTTGGCCAATATCGATTTTGTCCTGCTGGAGCGTCGACCATCCATTATCGAAGACAAGGGCGCTAGTCTTATTGTCCATGCTCATACCCTCCGAGTATTTCACCAGTTTGGAATCCTAGATGAACTGCTCGCTCATGGGTCGGAACTGTCGCACCATCTCTCCTTCACGGCGAGCGGCCATGTCTTTAACGAAGGCAGAAGATATCTGCAGATCCGCGAAAAGTAAGTCCAGTTACACCGTGCATCACTCTCGCTGTGGAGACTATAGCTAACGCGCGAGCGCCCAGTCACGGCCATGGACCAGTTGCCTGTCACCGTGCCGAACTGGTCGAGGCAATGTACAACGGTCTGCCAGCAGCTGCGCGAGCCAAGATCTTGACAAACAAGAAGCTGTGCAAGATTCAGCAAACCGAAGATGGTGTCACGGTAGCATGTGCTGACGGCTCGCTGTTTGTTGGAGACATCGTCATTGGCGCCGACGGCGTGCACAGCAAAACGAGGGGACTGATGCGCGATCTGGCTCTGGCGCAAGACCCATCGCGGCCATGGGATCCAGAGCATCCTTATACGGCAACGTACAAGCTTCTTTTTGGATCGTTCCCGTCTCCGTCTCCGCCCGGACAGGGATATGATATCCAGGATAAGGGCAAGGCCATCATGTACTTTAGCGGGCCCAAACGCGGATGGTTCTTCTTATACAAGAAGCTGCCGAAGCCAGTACGGGAGCGCACAACGTACAGTGATGAAGACGTCGCGGCCATGGCTCAGGAGTTCGCAGATTTCCCGCTGACACGAGAACACAAAGTCAAGGACGTCTTGCCACACATGTTGGGCTCTGGGTTGACCAATCTCGACGAGGGCCTAGTCAAGAACTGGAGCTTTGGGCGCATTGTTCTCGCCGGGGACTCCTGCCATAAAATGACCACCCATCTGGGTCTCGGCTTCAACCATGGAATCCAAGATGTGGTGGTCCTCTGCAACAACCTTGTCAAGGCCTTGAACGAGACGGCCGGTCGCAGCCCGGATTCCAGTACTCTCTCACTACTGTTTCAAGATTATGCGGCGCATCGGATGAGTTCACTTTCCTCACTCCAAGGAGACATCGTGAAATCTGGACTGGAGACACGCATGCACGCTTGGGAGAATTGGGGCTACCGCATCCTGTCGAGATACCTGTCGGTGCCGCTTCTGATAGAGGATCTTTTTATGCGGTTTATTATGGCCCCGGAGTTTCGAAAGGGTTGCGTACTAGACTACGTGCCCAAGGAGGAGCGGATGAAGGGTAGCATCAGTTGGATACATCCCTTGCCCGTGTAAAGCCCTAGCTAGCAATATTTTGTACTAGACTTGCGCGGCAGCTAGTAAAATAGACTCGGCAGACTGGAGAAATTTTAGCCACCTCGGGTGAAGTGGTGCTTCAAATCGGGACAATATTAAAGCAATGTGCTGGTACGAGAGCGGTCCTTTGACGGCCTGACTGAAGCTTTCAAACGATACTATTCACACGGTGAGTAAGCGATATTTGCATCTACTCAGCACACGGACACTTACATGCAAGAAGTTTAGCCTGGGTCCAGAGACTCCCGAAGTGCTTGAGCTGTAGATGCATAATGGTGATGCCGTGGTGGATACTGTTCAGGAGGTCATAGTCCATTGTGATGTCAAACTTTTGGTGCATATCCAGGAATACGAGGGCGGTAAATGTCGTAAACGTAATCGCCGGGTCTACTATATTGCAGAAGGCGCTATCCCACTGACTCGCGAGCGTGGCAATGTCCTGACACGCTTCAAGCACTCGCTGCCAGTTGGTCATCCAGTCACCCGCTTGCCGATGCCCGCATGCAACAATGGCAAGGAGCAAATGAGCCATTCGGATATGGAAGACGGTAATGATACGTCCATGGTGCTCCTCTGGCGACTCGTTGGAAAAGGCACGCCGTCGGGGATTCAACCAGCCGGTGGGCAGCGACAAGTGCAGTATTGCCAGTTGCCGTTCGACACTAGCAACTCGAGAAGCAATGCCGTCCGGGAGTTGAACAAGATGCAGACGAGTCGCAGCGCCGGCCTGGCGCAGGACGGAAACGGTGATGTTGTGTATATTCTCGGTCGACGTATGAGCATCTGCGATGATAGCAGGAAGGACGTTCGATAACTGCTCGCATGTTGTAGGCAACAATATCTTCTGAGGGTTATCTGCAGTCGGATCTTGATTGAATGACGTGTTCATTAGGTCGTCGTTAATCAGATATGGGGCCCCGGAGGCGAGATTCGAGTAGGTGTCGAGGCGATATAGACACCACCATAGTCGGCGCCATTCTCGCATATCATCGTCGCTTACAGCCGCCCATTCAGTGCTCTGACTAGCGATAAAATCTAGGCGATCTAGGCCAACATGGTAGGCCATGCGTGTGACGCGGCTAATTCGCAACCATGACCGGTGTCCTGGGAACTGGTGGAATTCATAAAACGCCAGAAGGTACGATTTTCGAAACTGGTCAAGTGATGGGTTATCCTCTGCAAACTCGTCGTCGAGCAGACTTGCGCTGAGTAATGATTCGAACTTGAGCTGAAGTTCAGCGATGCGATGGCTCTGAAACGATGGATCTAGCATGGCGGAAAGCAAGGCCATGGTCAAAATAAGATCCGGCGCGTGACGTCCCTCGCTGTACTGGTCAAAGAATCTAGCCTTGGCAAAGATCGGGTTTGCATCTTGAATAAACCCTAAAAACCCTTTGATGCTGCGATGGCTTTTAGCATTTGGGTTGTGCTCTGGCCGGGGGGCGGGGGGAGGGGCAGGCCGGACTTACAGGCACGCTTCATCCGTTGCCGAAAAAAGAGGAGCGGCTGCGTCTATGACACGGCTCGCAGTCCGGCTCTGAAGACTTGGGCAGCTGATGCTCAATGAAGGTGTTGGGTGACTTGTCGGCGTGGGCAAACGTTCTCTAGGAGAATCATACTCCACGTCTAGCTGTAGCACGTCGGGGCCAGCGTCTAGACCAGGCTCTATGTCTGTCGCCGATGTTAATACTGCTATTCGTGGCAGATTTACTCGTGAAGTATGCTCACCCGATGCATCTCGCGTTTTGGAAGTACGAGTGATGTACCGAGAGCCGCGCTGAGGGCCCGGCTTACGCCTTGTGGAGGTGTACTCGCAGGTTTCGCCGAGCTCTAGACATCTGGAGCAAGAGGGTCGTGCTTGGTTACCTGGGATGGATTAGGGTCTTGGCCTGATTCGATAGGGATAAAGTAGCCGTACATTTCACCTTTTTGCTGCACAAGTATTAGCACGGCGTTGCTACTTGGGCAATGTGAGGAAGCACCGAGACTTACGAGATGCATCGGTCGCACACTCTCAGTGGCATGGCTGGACAAGCTGTGGCTGGCCGATTGATGTCGCATAACAGCCCATGCAACGTAAATGCTACAGTACTACAGTACAAGGCGCACAATATCGGTTACCTTGTCAAGATAAAGCGGAGGTGTCCAACTAAGTCGTCTGCCACTTGCAAGGCGATATGTGAACAAGTCAAAAATTGAAGCTGGTGGTACGGAGCAACTTTGGGCCGATGCCAGCTGAGGACTGTGGCAAAAGTTGCTCCGGGTTGGTCGGTCACACACTTTTTGGTAGGCTCTAGCTATACTGCTCTTTAATACTTGGTATACTATTATAATAGTATAAACAATATTAACTATTTCTCTATATTTCGTGGTGAGACGAATTATTTTTGCTAAAGATGCTTCTATTTTACTCTGTAGACTACGTTTAATTTCGCAATGCGTCCAGCCAGGGGTGTCTCAAGATTTTCTTGATATCTGGCCTCTCGCTGGGATCCAGCTTCATCACAAGTTGTAAAAACGACGCAAATTCCTCCCGATCTTCTTTATTCAACCCCTCTAGCCACACCTCGGAGTCTAAGCGCGGCCGATCAAACTTCTCTGGGAAGCCAGATACCGTGCCGTCATCATTAAAGATCTCCTTGACCAGTTCCGGGTCTCCTTTGGCGAGGAGCGTCCTCGGAAACGGCCCGAAAAAGTCGACCATCTCAGCCAGATGCTTCCGAACGTCATAGTGACTCGACTCCTCTCCAGGCTTGCGGACCATTCCAGAAAACATGCGGATGGCACGATAGACTTCCAAAACGACAGCACCTAGGTTCCACCAGTCGGTCGTCTCGTCCCAGGGAGCTTTTATGAGGACCTCCGGCGCTCGAAGAGCCACTGGCTGAATCTTCTCAGTTAAGTGGTTGTCTTTCCAGCTCGCCACGCCCCAATCTCCCAACACTGCGCTGAAACCGTCGAGGCTACCACTCTTGTCTTTCTCGAAATAGTATTGTCGCAGCGAGCATGAAGGTATAGGCATGTAAGGGACGTCGCGGTCTTGATGTGGTGGCTTTTGGTCTCGGAAGTAACGTTCCAGCAAACTACGGTCGCGAATCTGGACAAATATGTTGCCTGGTTGAATGTCTAGTCATTGGATTTAGTCGCTTATCAGGAACAGAAAAGCAAACCGAATATGCGGGGGCGTCTACCTGTGTGTATGGCGCCTTGGCTATGGGCATAATCAAGCGCCAGGGCAATCTCAATGGTAAAACGTCTCATGGTGGAATATGGCACAAGACTTCGATTAAACCACGCTCCAAAGCTGCGTAGTGTCTCGGCCATGAGAGGAAATACAAGACAGACGTGCTTTCCGTTGGGGCCTTCGATTTCAAAGTCATCTAGCAGATGGCAGATGAAAGGGTAGCCTAGCATAGTGCGTTTTCCGTCGCGAAGGTGTTTCAAGATTTCTCGCTCGAAAATATCCTTCTCCGTATAATAGCACTCGCCGCTCAGCACTTTCAGGGCAACATACTCGTGTTCGTGGCCGCATCTATTGAGAATTAGAAGTGCAGTGCATCATTGCCTCAAGTGTACTCACTCACGGTTAGTGTCCCGCACCAACCAAACGGTGGAATAGGCACCATAGCCGATCTTGTTAAGGACAATGTAGTGGTCCTCGAAAATGTCATCGACGTAAACGGGATGAAACCCTCCAGCACGGTAGGCACCACGACCTTCCTCGATCTCGGAACCCTGAACTAATTTCTGATCATCCATGCTTGATGTTTGTTGGAACAGGCTCGTTGGTTGACTCCACGGCTGGGGTTTAACGGTGAAAGGTGATGACGTAATCAGCATTTCTGTAGTCTTGCGGTTACTCATCGGCGTCTGCTCTGAGCCCTCTCCGCGCTATGTCAGGGCATGAGCCCAGCATGCATACAAAATGGCCCGACTCGACAGTTGTAACATTTCACGTTTTTTCAATTACCAAGATATGACAGAAATTCAATGAGTGAGATCCAATAGATGCTGTTGTGGTGCTGCTGCCTGGAGCTGTCTCTGCAGCCACGGCGCTTAATCCGCCTGATCTCCCATAGCCGTGTGTACTGGTTGGCATTTGAACGTGCGCGCTCTGTTACATCCCCTCTATCATTTCATACGGGCTGCAGGTTGCCCTCTTGGTTGGCAGTCAGTCACGAAGAGAAACTTCCTCCTCGCGAGCCCGATGGAGGGTCTTGGAAATCATGGCGCGTACTGAGAAGCAGGAAGGACGTAATAAGCTCATGCTGTCTATATAAAGGCATCCAAAGTCCCGAGAACATGAATGCGAGACTCTCCAGCATACACAGCCTTCATAACCGCAAAATTTTTGGGAATTTCGAATCCTTTGCACGCAAAAATGGAAGTTTCTTTTACTGAAGAGCTTAAAAGATCGCCTTCAGCCGAGCAAGCAGCGCAGGCCCAGGGTGAGGAATCAATCCACGAAATCCACTGGTTGACCAATATATTGACCTCAACACGCGTCAACGTCAACCCACGACTTGAATTGTTACATAATCAACCAATCCACGGTGCTGCGCATTTTGATGGACGATATGGATGGATTGACCAGTCGTCCAGCATCGCGAGAAACGGAAGCTCTGCTGCAGGGTAAGAGGCCAACCTAAGTCGCTCGCTGGGGCCGACGTAACACTAGTTGTCGGCACTATCCACCCACTACAGTACGGCGGGCGCGCCTTGTCGCGTCCTGCGACGCGTCGCCATTTTAGGCCACCTGCAACACGAGGCGACTGGCAGCTGAAACATGGCCGAGCCAGTAACTACCAACATCGAACCTAAAACACCAGCTAGCGATGATACCCCGCACGATGCTTTACTGCTCCCGAGGCTTGCCCTTCTAGACGCGGGAAAAATTCCTTTGACATCCTGGACGCCATCCTCAGATGAGGAGCAGCGCATATTCCGCGTCTGGAAGGGCTTCACACTAGCCGAACGAACCAAGGATACGGTGTCTTGGATATGGGACTACGGCGTTGAGATTCAATCAGAAGCGTCCAGGCGATGGATCTGCATGCCGTGCGTGCGCCAAAAAGCATCATCACCACAGTCATACGAATCAAGAGGCACACAGAATGCCGAGCACCACCTCTGGAAGTCTCACGGCTACTGGGATCCGTCAGGACGACGACGAACGCCACTGCAGACGAAAGAGGGAAGGAAAGCCTTCGCATCGATCACAGACCTCATGGGCCTCAAACGTTTGGAGCCTAACGACCAGGCCCTGGCGAACAACCTAATCCGACGATTCGATCAAGCCGAGTTCCAGAAGCTGGTGGTGAACTGGATAGTAGAGAGCCAGCAGTCATTCAGGCAGGTCGAACATCCACGTCTGCGACAAATATTCGAATACCTGAATCCTGCGGTGCGTATCAAGGATGCGCATGTTACTGCTAAGACTATCCAGAGCTTGGCTATTCAGCAGTTCGAGCGCCATCGCGATGCCGTTCAGCATGCATTGAGGAGGTCTCCGGGCCAGATACATATCGCTTTCGATGGCGCGAGGACCAGAAACCGTCACGCATTATACGGCGTGACGGCTGTCTTCCGAGATGAGGACAACCAACTCCGAAAGCTTGTCCTGGGCATTCCGGAGCTGGTGGAACGACACTCCGGCGAGAATATCGCTGCTGAGATCCTTGACATTATTCGCTCCTTCGGCATCGAGGACAAAGTGGGTTACTTCACCCTCGACAATGCAGCGAACAACGACACGGCGATGCGCGAGATCGCGCAAGAGTTGCACTTCGATCCGGTGCGACGGCGCGTTCGATGCGTTGGCCACATTCTCAATCTCGTCGTCAAGTCCCTTCTGTTTGGAAAAGATGTCGAGGCGTTTGAGGACACCGTCGCGAAGGGCGAAGCACTGGCAAGGGCAGCGCACGACACGTGGATGCGGAGAGGCCCCGTCGGCAAAGCTCACAACTTTGCCATTTGGGTCCATCGGTCGGATGTTCTGACGCAGTTGCTTCGCCAAATCCAACAAGACTCGTATGCGGCAGCTGACGACGCCGAAGTTGGGAAGCAACGGCCAGTCGACGTGGTTATTGACAACGATACCAGATGGCTATCCCAATACTACATGATCAAGCGGCTGTTGCGACTGCAGCCTTTCTATGAAGAGTTCATTGCTAAAGCAAAGAGAATCTTCCGAGATGGCCGGAGAGGAGAGGTAGGCCGGAGGTTTCCTCCTTGTCTTGAGGAGTCAAGCTTCCTCACCGAGAACGATTGGGCGGTGCTCAGGACTTTTGACGAGATCCTCTCGGACTTCCACGTGGTTGTACAAGCGCTCCAGGGCGATGGGCAGCCGCGTTGTCGCGCCTCCGGCATACGAGAGACCTTCGGTTCGATGACTGACGTGCTAGAGGCATTTGAGTTCCTTCTGAGCAAGCTGGAAGACGCAAAGTCGCAGATCGAGACGCATCCCGAGCCGGAGCATTTTGGCATTAACGTCAATCTTGGCTGGATGAAGCTGGACAAGTACTATAATACCTTGAGAGACACGCCGGTCTACTACGCTGCCGCTGCTTTGCATCCTGGGCTGCGATGGACTTATTTTGACGAGATTTGGGGCCGGCACCACCCGGAATGGGTTGAAGAAGCGAAGCAGATTGTGCAGCAGCTCTGGAGCAATGAATATAGTAACCTGCAAATCACAGTCGCATCCACTGCCGATGGGCCAGCGCTAAAAAAGCAGAAGACTGTGCTGTCCTCATTTGATAGGTACCGTAATAGACACCGGCAAAGCAATGCACCCACTGCCGGAGCAGATGAATACGCACGCTGGCAAGCTAGCATGTCGGAGCTGGACAGAGATGTGGCTGACCCGGTGGAGTATTGGCACCTGAAGAGATTCGAGTATCCTAAGCTGTCTCGAATGGCACTTGATGTGATGACAGTGCCGGCCATGAGCGCAGAGTGCGAGAGGCTGTTCTCGGCAGCAGGGCTAATGGTTACTCCGCTGCGGAACAGGATGGATGCAGGAACAATTGGACTTATCCAAACCTTACGCTCGTGGCTACGCGCGGGAATAATCAAGGATGTTGACAATATACTGCTGGACAGGGCTGTATCAATGGGGCTTGGGGAGGATTGCTCAACGGAGGAGTTTCGAGGATGAGGCGGGGTAAGGGGGTTTCACGATAGCTTCAAAATTACTCAATTAGGAAATCGATGTGGAGACGACATGGGTCCTCAATATTGTGGCCATCAACCCACGAGAAGGCTTCGTGGACTCAACCCACGACAGCGCTGCTGAGTAAGCTGTCAATTCCATCCACGACAAGCACTCGTGGACGTGGGTGGATTGATTCCTCACCCTGCGCAGGCCTACGCGCAGACGGACACTCGCCCGATCGCAAAGGCACTTGTCAAATGTACACCCGCGAGTGTGTAAGCCTTTTCATCTGCTCTCTACTTGTTGATGCTACTTTGTTGATGCTAAAACCAAAAAAATAAAAACAATAGCGGTGGCGAATCCTGGCACAGAGGCGGCACTGACCCAAACTCGCCAGAGCACATCACCGTGGAATACAAGGATGCTAAGAATGGCCACATTACGACGAAGCACATCAACCGCGAAGGAAAGGCGGTTTAAAGGAGCCATCTAACATGCCAACGTCGAACTCTCTATGCCAGGATGGGTAACTGATTAGGTTCGGCGATCGGTCGCCGCAGGGAGGTAGCGCGGAGTACATTGCGGGGAGTTTACGAAGGAGAAGCTGTTGTCAGGCGCTTGGAGGGGGCAGCAATGCTTCCAATCGTTCCCGCAACCCAGCCTTGAACATCTGTGAATACAAGCACTTCCCCTGCATTGTTATTGTTGAACCTGCGAAAATAGCCTGGTCAATCCCGGCTTGTGATTAGTCGGAATGGAGTAGGTAGTGCCCCTCTCTTACCTGGGCTCACCCCACACAGCGATGGAGACAGACGTAGGCGAATTAGCTAAGTAGATATCATCAAGAACCATGAATAACACCAAATTGGCCCCATTATCCCTTCATTATTTACCCTTTTCCAACCCTTATGAAACCTAGCTCCATCGAGACAGCCTCTTCAGCAGCCCGAATTTGTATAGGCGTGGAATTTCGGCGCAATAACCCGTCTCTATCCAAACGGGTTCCCTTCGACTGAACATCTCACCCACGCCTCTCTACAGCAAAGTTAGCCCGAAAGGTAGAAACATAACAAACTGTTGGTATCACAAGGGGTTGATGTGCGCGCTTAGGGAGGTTTGGGTTGATTTCACTTGATTGAAGCTATCAACGCTGGTTGGCTCGAAGGCCTTATGGATATAGATAAATGTGGGTCAAACCTCTATTCTGGCCAATGAGAGCCATCCGTTGGCCCAATGCAGCAACACAAACTGTTGGCCACATACGACAGTACAGAGTATCTGCCTGCTTCATTTTCCCCATTTCAATCATAGAAAAGCCCAGGCGATGGCTGCTGATACTTTTGCGGTGAGCACCCTCTGTTCGCGAAACTTGTGGCAGTGACTACTCTAATTTTGATCCGCGGCCGAGATTGTGCCCCTGAAGATCCATACACCGCAAAATGCCGCTGTCAAGGAGGTTAGACTCTGGCAGAACTACTAGAGCCAAGCGGCTAATCGAACATTCCTTGAAGAGCCCTACAGACACGACATACCCGGGCAACATAGACCGGGGCATTTAGAAAAAGCGAAACACCAGAGGCATCATCAGGAGAAGTCCGCTGGGGACTAGAGAATGACCTTGACTTCAGTAAAACCAGTAATTCAGGGCGGAGGGAATTTACGACTGGCGAGGCTTCTCGTGCGCATTTCAAGCGGTTGATATACATGACCGCCTGGCTGTCTGGTTATGTGGCTGGTTTATGGATTCCTATGTATTCGGCGTTAGCAAAGCCCACTGCTTTTCCTGTACCCCGTCTCCAAGAGTTTCCCATTCCGAATCAATATGAGTCAAGAACTTACACGCAAGTAGTTGACTCATTTATCATTGCCTACTAGAGAAACACACTAAAATAATAACCAAGAGGCTCTCTTGGACGTCAGCGAAACTGCACGGACAATCCAAAATAGCGCGTTGCCTAACTAATAATAATGTTCGTCTCGAATGTCCCCGCTGGCAAGCTCAGTAAACTTGACCCCTTTCATATCCAGGCCCCCCTTTCCAATGGCTGAGCCACCAGCTGTCTATCCTTTGTTCCTGCAGGATACGGTCAAGGCAAACCAAGTGCTAATTCTGCTCACTCTGCACTTTAACGATGTCCTCGATGTGGAACTGGTTCGCTCGTCGCTCTCAACGCTTCTCCGGATAGGACACTGGCGAAAGTTGACAGGCCGCCACTACAGAACTGTATGATCGCCCCTGACCATCCTATTAACGGCCTACAGCAAGAAACTTCAACACCCTTGAGTACTGCGTAACTGACCAACTCCCTGCCAGCCCAATGGCAACTGGGAGCTTCGCGTTCCTGCGCGATTTACGCCACAACACCCAGACTTTACTTTTACTCACCAGACATACGCCGCAGACTTGGCTTCCCATCCTCTGGGTAAGCTGTACCCTTCAGCAACGAAAGATGCTTCAACTCAACCCATCGACGTCGCCATCAAACCACTTCTCGTTCCTCATGAGTTCCCGACTAGTTTTGATGAAATGGTCAAGCAGCAGTGGCCGCAACTGACGCTCTCTGTCTCCTCCTTCAACGACGCCACTATTTTATCACTTCTACTACCTCACACGGCGATGGATGCCAGTGCCATCACATCCCTTCTAGAAAATTGGTCCCTTGTGATGGCCGGCGCTGAAGGCAAGGTTGAAAGCGTTTATGGGAGGTCCGAGGATCCTCTGCGAGTTCTTGACTCAGATACCGAGACAATGGAACCACACATACTTGACAATAAGCGCATGAAGTGGTTGCAAGTTATCGCCTTTGTCGCACGTTTTGTCTGGCGCAAAAAAATGTGGCCTGCTGCGGAGACGCGTGTGATTTATCTGCCAGAGGATGTGCTCGACGCCCTTAAATCGCGAACGACTGGCGAGGCACAGATTGCGGCACCGCAACCCGACGCATTCATATCCGAAGGTGATGTCCTCGCAGCCTGGCTCACTCGCGCAACTGTCAGTGCTACCCGGCGCAAGATGCCAGCTACGATGCTGGATGTCGTAAATATCCGCAATCGAATTTCGGCGCTGGGCGGCAGGGATGAGATTTTTCTCCAGAACATGCTTGGTATTGTATTTACACCGTTGTCTGTGGAAGACACACAGGGTTCCGTTGGCAAGATCGCGCTGCTGCATCGGCGTGCCATAACCGAACAGCTGTCAGAGCAACAGGCGACGAGACATTTGCGGAGGATGCGTCGTGCGATAAGAAAGGCCCCCTTGAGTTTGCCGCCCGTCTTTTACGGTCGCTCATCCGCAGTCTGCCTGGTGTCTAACAATGTGAGCAAGTCGGGCTATGTTGCAGCGGTCGACTTTAGTCCAGCCGTGTCGGGTGCGTCAATGGAGAGACAAAATCCACCCGGAACACCAGTTTTCGGCATCACCATGCCGGCAGAAATGTCGCACATGATGGGCTTCAATTCCGTGTGGGGAAAGGACAACCAGGGAGGATTCTGGCTCTCAGCGACCATGTGTCGGACTGGATGGGACATTTTGGACAAGGACATCGCAGAGCTATCTAAACGTGTCGCCACGGGCTCGGCGGCAAGCAACAGCGCCTGAGCCAAGTCAAGCGGTCCCCGCGCTGTGAGCCAAGAGCGGTGTTGCCTGTTACTACCAGTTCAAACCTCCCTCTTTTATTATATAGAATCAACCTCCGAATATTTGCTGTTTGCGCCAAGGCCTGAGCGAGTGTAGCTTGTTGTTTGTAGGAAGATGGTCAAGCTGGTACCCGCCCCGAGCCTTGTGAGCCGGTCAGTGGGTACTCGACCCGGGGCCTTTCCGGAGACCGATTATTTAAATCACGACATTTGATATCGCATCATCCCGAAAGTCGTAATTCATCAACTTCCTTTACAAGATAAGAGAATGGGCATCAAAGAAGCCGCATTTTCTGCCCGGCCCGGCTCTCTGTTGCCACCTCCGTATGAGGCGGCGGCTTACCCGACCGAGCAGCCGCGACACCGTCTACTCGTCAGGCAGTGGTTGTCGCTGCGAACCCTCCTCAGCCTCGCCATCACTACGTGTGTGCTCTGGCTGTGCATCGCAAATCATCATGCGCCCCGCGACACCGCTCGTGTCGTCGATGACCGATTTACCATCGCCCTGGAACAATGCCAAGCTCGCCATCTGCTCCCTTCGAAACCCGACCCTGCATCCAGAACCCAGAATTCGCGATGGGCTGCGGAGTATGGCCAGAAGCAGCGCATAGTCCTGAGGAATGTGACGCTCTTTGATGGCGAGAGCTTCATTGAGCACGCTGTGGACGTAACCTTTGCAAGAGGGCTGGTCGAGTCTATCCAAAAGTCGGGTGGAGAGAGCTTCCAGAAGGGCGCTATCGTCTACAATCTTCACGGGCGATACGTGACTCCCGGCCTGGTCGACATGCACTCACACCACATGGTTATCCCGTGGCCGGGAACGGAAATGACCGCGGACGGCGCCGAGGTTCATCCTGACACCAAGGCAGTCACCAGTCAAATGCGCGTCGTAGACGCACTCAAAGCATTCGATGAAGGGACGGTCATCATCGCGTCTGGTGGTATTACAACATCTCTCATCATTCCAGGCTCGGCCAACCTCATTGGTGGAGAGGGCGCACCGGTGAAGAATGCCCTGTATAGCGGTGCCAATGCTGAACCGATCGTCGAGGAGGTGCTGCTCGAGCGCGGGATGCCGCAGCACGAGCGCCAAAGGTACATGAAAATGGCACTTGGCGAGAACCCCAAGAGGGTTTGGGGGTATAGTCGGCTCGGCAATGCGTGGCATTTGCGAGAGCACTTCCAAAAGGCCAAGGACGTGATGCAGTCACAAGATGACTATTGCGCGGGCTTGGAAGTGGCGATTCGGAGCAATTTGCAGGCGAAGGAGAGTTTCCTGGCTGCAAATGGAAAGTTTCCATTCAACCTGGAGCTCGAGAGTATGGTTGCTCTACTCCGGGGTCAGGTCTCGCTTCACAACCACAACTACGAACCACAGGATCTAGAAACAATGATCCGCATCAGCGAGGAGTTTGGCTTCAAGATTTCCGGTTTCCATCACGCGATAGAAGCTTGGCAAGTCCCCGGCATGTTGAAGGAGCGAGTCCCCAACATCACCATTGCGACATTCGCCGAGTTCAGCCTGTACAAGCATGAATCATACTGGCCCAGCCTCTACGCCGGCCACGTCCTCGATGAAAACGGGATCAGAGTGGCGTACAAGTCGGACCACGTCGAGTCTTTTACGAACGCAAAGTATTTGCTTTCCCAGGCGGCGGTCGCGCATGCCTTTCACCTGCCGGCCGAAAAGGCGCTGCAGGCAGTCACCTCCATCCCCGCCGCAGCTATTGAGCAGGACCACCGAGTCGGCTATTGCAGGGCTGGATATGACGCCGATATTGTCGTCTGGGATGACCATCCCCTCAACCGTGGCGCCACACCTTTGCAGGTCTTCATCGATGGCATTGCCCAATTGAACGAGACTGCGGTTGAGAGGAGTACAGGTTCCTCCTGGGTTGGTCAGGCAGCAAAGGGCTCTTCGGCCCAAATCACGCCCCAAGTCAAGTATGAGCCTGACGACCAGACTCGCGATGAAACTTGCCGGAGGATGACGGCGGCCAATGGCAACATTGTTATTTCAGGTATCAGCCGAACTTTTGTGCGAGGATTTCCGGAGCGGATCCGCGGAAACACCGCGACCGAGTCTGGGCCACTTCAGATGATTTTGGAAAACGGCAAGGTAGTTTGCAGTGACACTGTCGAAAACTGCAAAGATGGTCGCGCCAAGATTGAAGCGACAAAGGGATACGCCAGCCTCCAACTCACGAACGGCCACGTCGCTCCCGGATTGACCGCCCTTGCGAATGCACTGGGCACGAGGGAAATCGCTACGGACCCAGACACGGGCGATGGCAGCGCAGGTGGCCAGAGCATCACCGACCCAGAGAGCATACTCTACGCCAAGCATGCGGCCTTGCTTGACGGCAAGAGTTTTGCGCGCGCCCGCCTGGGCGGCGTCAGCCGTGCCATCACGGCCCCGATAGCTGACGGTCCTGCTCTCGTGTCGGGCGTGAGCGTTGAGATCCTGACGAGTGGTAAGAAGAGCTTGCTGCATGGTGGAATAGTCCAGGAAGAGGTTGCGCTTCACATGGCGCTCGGCGACGCTTCCGACGAAGGAAGCGGGAGTGGCGGCGTCAAAAAGCTGCGAAAAATGCTGAGCGACGGGCTTGGCAAGAACAACGCGACTGTTTTTGGACGGGTGGCCGCGGGCAGTCTCCCACTCCTCGTGTGTGCCGATAACAAGGTGTGTTGGAAACTGATGAAGCATGGCTGAGGTGTGCTAACCTGGACGACCAGTACGATATTGAGCAACTGATATGGGTAAAGAACGATCACCCAGACGCCAAACTTGTCCTTGTCGGTGCCATGGAGGCTCCTTTTGTAAGTTTCAGATTCGGGGTTGCGAGTGCATAAACAGGACTGACAAGGTTGAACAGGTCGCCGAAGATCTTGCTGCCGCTGACATCCCCGTCATCTTGACGCGCGACCGCGGTGCCCCGACGACCTTCCGTACCAGAGACGGCTTCGTGGGACCACCTCTTACACGCAGCATTGCCAGTCATCTCAAGGATGCCGGCGTGAAATTCGGCTTGGCCTTGCTTGATTTGGGTATGGAGACTCAGTTTGGTGAAAAGTTGTCAACTGCTAACCTTGGTAGGCATGCCCTCGGACTACAAGATCCACGATCTGCTACCCGAAGCCGGATGGACGGCAAAATACGCGGGTCTCAGCGATGCCGAGGCTGTCGAGCTCGTAACGAGCAACATTGAGGACATTCTCGACTTGAAGCAGAGAAGCAAGGACGTGGTTGTCTATGAGGGAGACCCATTGCACTATGGCGCCACTGTGGCCATAGTGCTGGCGGCAAATGACGAGACTGGCGGGTTGGAGGTTTCTGGATGTTTCCCGCGTGAGAATGAGTTGGTGGTTTCTGTCGAAAGCGTCTAATTAATGTAGGGGTTGATTGTCCAAGTAGGCGGCTCCGACGTGCTTTATCAGCCGAGAGGGTATGGCTGGAGACTGACTGGGTGCGGATGTGGCCCTACGGCCGAGTAATAATTTAATTACGGAGTAGGTATCCATTGATGGCCCCGGTAATAAGGCTGGATGGAGCCTGACAGGTGCAGAACAGGGGCAAATCTCGTATTACTGGCAAGCGGATGTTCGTTCTTTTATGCGATTCCGAGCTAGCAAGTCTCAGGCCAAGGTAACCTGCCTCCTAGCTTCACCTAGGGCCGAGATGAAAGAAGGGGGGATGCGGGTTACGAGATTGATGAAATAAAATATCCCCAGAACATTGTGATGCCGGGCTGAGCGGCGTGTATTTTCTGGCTGCCTGTCCTTTGCGTCGCAATGCGGTCCTCCATCGCTCTTCTGTCAGGCCTGGTCCTTGCCCATATAGGTATGTACCTGGGCGCCTCTATACCTAACCGCACCTGTCATTTTTAACCTTGCCACTAACCAAGCTCAGACTCGACCTTGGCCCAGCTCGCTGGCATTCCGACCGTTCCGTTCAAAAATGATGGCAAGAAATCTTTCAAACTTGATGCTGTTGGCACCATCATTGTCGATACCAAGTACGCCGATGCGACCGATAAGAGCGGCTTGACCCTGATTCCCCCAACTCTGCACGAGTTCGGCGCGACCTTTGCGCAAGACCTTCAGCAAGTGCTCAACAAGACTGTCACAGCCACCAACGGCGACAAGCGCGAATCCAACACTATATTCTTGACAATTGACAGCGAGCACGAGTTCCTCGATGCCGCCAGCCGTCCGACCTCCGAAGGATACACAATTGTTGCCGAAGAAGATGGCGTCACCATCCGCGGTGCCAGTCCCTTGGGAGCTTGGTGGGGGACGCGAACGCTTCTGCAACAAGCCATCTTGGGAGACGACGGCGCAGTTCCCGTCGGTCAGGGCGATGATGCTCCTGGGTGGTCGACCCGAGGCATGATGCTTGACTGCGGCCGCCACTTTTACCTCAAGGAGTTCCTCATTGACATGTGCTCTTACATCTCCTTCTTCAAGCAAAACACCTTTCACATTCATCTTAGCGACAACACGATCGTTCCGACCTACACGCCGGACAACGTCAACGAGACGTATGCGCGCTTCCGCCTTTGGTCAGATAACATCGAACTCTCCGGACTTAATCGCCATGCCAATGAATCCTATACCAAGGCTGACTTCGACGAGATTCAGACCAAGTGTGCCCAGCGCGGCGTCACCATCATTCCTGAAATCGAAGCCCCCGGTCATTGTCTGCCGATTGTGCAGTGGCGCCCCCAGATCGGCTTCCAAGGCGATCTCAGCCTCCTCAACATCTCGCACCCCGATACGATCCCGACCATGAAAACCGTCTGGAAAGAATTCCTTCCATGGTTCCACACCTCCGTCGTCTCCATCGGAGCTGATGAATACAAGGGCCCGGAAGAAGACTACAAGAAGTTTGTCAATGAAATGTCGGCCTTTATCAACCAAGAGGCTAGCAAGTCTATTCGCATCTGGGGCACCTTCCCTGCTGTCAAGCACGCCGGCTCCAGCACGACCATCGACTCCAACATTACTATTCAGCACTGGGCCTACCTCTTCGACAACCCCTACGAGGATTACATCAAGAACAACTACTCCGTCATCAACTCTGATGAGATGTACTACATTGTCATGAAGGATGGACCCTACGGCCGAACCATCAACACTTCCACGACATTCACCGGCAACCCCGACGGACATGGTCCCTGGTACCCAAATATCTTCAACCTCAGTCATCCGGACCAGAACCCATCACGGGATAACAAGCTAGTTCAAGGCGCCATATCGCCTCTGTGGAATGACCAAGGTGCCAACACCAGTGTCTACTCAGAAGCCTACTACGCTTGGCGTGATGGCATCCCGGCCCTTGCTGACAAGCACTGGGGCGGCAATCTCACCCAGGACCAATACTCGAACTGGCTCTCCAAGTTAGTGGCCAAAGTACCAAACCAGAACTTCGAGCGCCGCATCCCCTCCAAGCAAAACCTCATCTTCTCGTACGACCTGCGCAAGGTGAAGGGCGATTCTATTACAGACAAATCAGGCAACAAGTACGACGCAAAAACTACATGCAAGACCGCCGACGATGGCATTGTCATGTCGGCCGATTGCGACATAACCACGCCATGGTCATCCAAGGGTAGAAACTACACGCTTTCCTTGACACTCAACATTGATAAACTTCCCAATGATAAAAATACAACCCTTGTCTCTGGGTCGGATTCAACTCTGATGTTGACGCCAAATGTCACTTTATTCGCTGCTGGCATATATTTCCGACTAAACAACACCATTCCCTTGCAGTCATGGGTCCGGTTAGAGATCAGCAGTGCTGGGCCCAAGACCTTCGCGTCAGCCTTCAACGACAAAGGCGACAAGATCTTTTCCAAGGCAGAATTCCTTACTGAGATGAGCTACTACGGCGCACCTCTGCGATGGCATGAAATGGCTATTGAGGCGCCTATCCATCAAATCACTGGCTGGGAGGGCAAGGTGCGTGAATTCAGTCTCACTGCAGAGGGCGTAAGCGACTCGAAGCAGGGAGGCTCATCCACCACGCGAGGGTTGCCCAGTATACACTTATTGGCTGCCTTGTGTGCCGCAGCCATATACCTCGGCCTATAAGCTAGTGAAGCCGCATATGCTGGATTCCAGATCTTTGTATAGAGGCAAAAACTATTCTTCTAATTTTGGATAGTCGATGCACCGTGTCAACATGAATTGTGGCCGCATTCATCAAGCATGCCAACAGTCAATTGCTATGTATAGTACCAAAACTCCAAATATTTGTATATGCTTTACTCCAGGTGGTCTTGTTCTTCTCTAATCAATACAGTAGATACGAGTGTGCTTCACAGCACTAATGTGACTTCTTTTTTACCTGCCCATGTGCGCTCGCCCTTAATGTATCCAATCGATGTGTTTCCAAAATAGTACAATTCCACTCAGCGCAGCCGTGAAGCTGGTAAAAATAACCAACGGTCCATAAATCGTCCCGTACGCGCCGTACGTCTTGACATGCCAGAAATCTCCCACGAGCGCCTGGCTCAGCGGGCCGGAGAGGACGCTCCCGATGCCCCTGCCAGCAGCGAGCACCGACAGGACCATGACGGGATCGGTGTCCTCGCACGAGTACCTGTCGCTAATAGTGTCGTCCGTCGTGATCTGCCGCATGAGCCCAGTCCAGGCGGACGTGTAGGAGCCGGCGAACAGGCCGTAGAAGGCGCAGTAGATGAGCAGGGACGGCACCGTGGTGGCGAAGCCCCAGAGCATGGCCGTGGCCAGCGAGGCGCCAACGGTGGCGATGAACAGGCACCGCGCGACGTGGTGATTGTCGGACAGCCAGCCCATGGTCGGGCAGCCGACGGTGGAGGCGAGGTTGAGCAGCAGGATGGTGCTGGCGGCGACGAACTCGCCGGCGCCGAGGACGGAGCGCGCGTAGGTCGGGAGGAAGATGCTGGGCAGAAAGAAGCCGAGAGCTTGGAAGATGTTGGCGAGCTGATGGAGCATGAAGGTCTGGCTGAGCGTGAAGCGAAAGTTGAACGGGTTGCCCTGCGTGGGGGACTGGGGCAGCCGGGGCTTGACGAAGTACACGACGGGGAGGGTGATTGCAACGAGGGCGATGGCGCAGACTCGCAATGTGTACTGGTATCCGTACTTGCTGAGGAGATATTGGAGGACGAAGGGAAGCACCGATCCGGACAGCCCGGTGCCGGCCCACATGATTCCGTACGCCATGCCCTTTCGTCGGTCGAACCAGTCGTTCAGAAAGGCAATGCACGGGCAGTACGACAAGGAGGCTCCGATGGCAAACAGTATGCCTTGCGTTCCGATTAAGTGGGAGACTGTCGTCGCGAATGAGGCGGCCACGAGAGCGCCGGCCATGACGAAGATGCCGATGAGAGGAGACCACGCGCTTAATCGCGGGGAAAGCCGCTGGATTCCCATGGTTATTGGCATCCCTAAATACATGATGCCCTTGCGAGAGTTAGAAACGTTTTTGTCCTCAGTACGCAAGAGGTCTACGTACCATGGCACTTGTAGAAACTGTCGGCAATCCCGTATTGCCTTTAAATGGCGGGTGTGTGTCGTAATAGTCTTGAAAGACTCCGTACGCACCTGGAAACCCTTTTTGACCGGGAAAAGTAGGATTAGAATAGCTCGAGCTTCAATTTTCTTTTATTTTTGTTTGCTGTAACTCACCGAGTGCTAGCCCTTCAATCAAGAAGGAACCGGCGAGAAAAAGCCATGCGTGCAGGCCTGAATCGGTGGGATGAACTTTTGGCCCGCTCGGCTTCTTGATCAGATCATGCTTGTCGTTGTCTATCGACGTCGACGGGGAGTGTATCGTTGCCTCCTCGTCCGGCGCAGAGCGTTTTCTTCTCATCTTTCTGTATTGCAGCTGTTGGCTCCTCCAGCCGATCGCACTTGGTTCCCGCTGGCGAAGTCGAGGCCTATGTCGTGTCGGATGTCGCCCAACTCGGAGAATTTTTGACGCGAACAGAAGGTGTTTCCAAATTTAAACTGCTATAGCATGGCCGGATGTTTTCTTTATTTAATCTCCGATGTTCTAGCTACGCGGAGTGGCAGGGAAGCTCTGTTGGCGTCGCAAGCACAAACCCACACATGGAATGACTGTGTGTAAGACACTCCCAAGAGCCACGACATATCATGCAGCTAGCTGTCTTGCAGACGCTCGTACACCTTGGAATGGTTTTTGTTGCTTTGCCACTTGCTCTATGACAATCGGCTAGTGTGTTGGAGCCGACCTGTCACTTGAGCGTGATAACACAAAATGGCACACGAGATGGTAGCTAGTTATGATCATCGCGATGCGGCTGCCCCAGGATGCTGGCTTTGAGGCATGACCGGCTTTCCGTTTGAAGACATTGGAGGTTGCATCTATTTACCTTAATAGAGTCGATGTATGGTTCACAGTTTTTTTTTTTTTATATTTTCTTGCAGGTGGTATACACAGAGCCGTTCTCTCGTTGTACCCTGTTGGCTCGCGTCATTGGAAGAGGCTGGCAGCGTCGCCTGTCGGGTTTCTCGCACTGCGAAGTTGCCGTCAGTCCGTGAATGCGCAGAATGGGCCACCGATAGGAATTTATGCTACAGCACCTTCCGTCGGTCTGTCTCACAAGTGCTCTCGTCAGGCGGGATAATTGGTAGGCTGATCCAGCCCCACGCGCGAGTTCGCTGCTGTCTCAGTCTCTGGAATTCAACATGCCCCGCGGATGTGATGCAGTCGATGCAGAATCACGTAGTCGATGGGAATTGCGACGTAAACTCCGTTTCGAAGCGAAGTACTACCCATGAATGTCATAAAAATAGCACAGCTGAGAAGTCATTCAGATTACATAATGGAGGTTTGTTCGTAGTATATCATTTCCGCGACATCGCGCGGACCTGAGACCAAGCACCGGGTAGTCAGAAGTCTAGAAATCGCGGCCAATTATCAAACACCTACTAGTTAGGTGTTTCCTGTAAGTTTAGTTGCCTCCATACCTCAACAGTTTTCTCTTACCTTACCTGTGACGCCAGCCATCAACGGCAAGTTCGCTTGCCCATTCAGCGGATCCCTCGGGACAGCCGCGAAAGCTATGCCTATAACACCTTTCTTTTGAGCAAAACGTCGCAATGCGAAGCATGCGTTATGCGATAAGACAAAGGGCTGAGAATAGAAGCTTTGATCGATCGGGTAGTTGGTTGCACGTTATCCAATCCTACCAAAGACGCCTACCCTATGCACTCAGCCATTTTTTCGACTAACACCAGTGCGAACCTATTCATGAAGAGCAAGAAAACTATAGTCATTGAATTACTACTCTAAGCTTCATATTAATCAAGGATTTGTTTATCCAAGAGCACGCCTAAGTATCCTGGGTCTTAGCCATTCAAATATTTTTGGAGTCTGTGTGAACAAGCGCCTTGCTGCACCACCGCGCCACAACCCCCAACATCACACACCCCAATACAAAACCCAAATTAAGCAATGCCCTGGGCAGCAGCAGCGACACGGGCAACCTCGCTAATGCTAGCAGGGCCCATGGTAAAGTTTCCTTGGTAGCCGTATTGGGCGACGTAGAAGCTATGAACACCCTTCTTCACTATAGCCGTGGCATCAGTCTCAAAGGTGGACTTGGAGGCCGGCACATATGGGTTCCAGGTCTCGTAAAAGTCGTGGATGACAACCGAAGACTTGGCTACGCGGCTGCTGTTGCTAGGCAGGGCGTCGAGGCTGGCGGGTGTGAAGGGAGTGTAGCCGAGATGGCAGCGAGGATCCTTCCCATCGTAGGCCTGATCGTGGTCCTTGGTGTAGCAGGTCTCGAGGTTCAAGATGGAATCGGCAGCATCGAAGAGAGATTCGCTACCTGCCTGGACAGCGACGCCCGGGTTAAGGATGACAGGCCCGCCCTTGCCACCGAAGACAGACTTGGCATATTTGGTGATGTCGAGGTTGCGCTGAAGCTGGGCGGGGTCGGTGTTGATCTCGTCAAAGAAGATGCCGTGGATGGAGATGTCCTGCGCGACTCCGTCCCAGTTCTTCTGAGTCTTCCACTGGGCATAGTCGTCGATGCCCTTCTTGACGAGGGCAACATCGCGCCCCCCAAAGCCTGTGTAGACGTAGCCGATCGTCTTGGCGTTGCTCCGTGCGTTGACCTTGCCGAGGTGGTTTGCCCAGTCTATCAGGTCTTTCGGCGTCGGGCTCCCGGGTTCCGCCAGCGTCGAGCTGTACGGGGGCCCGTTGCCATCGTTGACAATGACATAAAAGTCGAGGGCAGGGTGCTTGTCGATCGTGTCAATCAACGCATCCCAGTCCGCTTTCCAGACATAGGGGGAGATGTAGTAGGGCACCAAAAGGGCAGTCTTGGCGTAAACGGTTGCCGCAAGAGCGGACAAGGTCAGAGATAGCTTCATCTTCTTCCGAGAAATTTTCCAAAGGCAGACATCTGCAGAACTCTATGCATTACAGCAGCAGCGAAGAGGTTTTATGTACAGAACACGCTCACCCAGGGAACGCCGGCATTGGTTGTCAGCTACACAACTAGCTCAGCAGAACCCGCCTCAAAGAGCAAGCTAGAACAACAAACTAGCGCATGAAGCTGATCCAGTTGCATTGACACTCGCATCAATAAGGCTGTGCACTGGATACAAACCAGGCTCGCAACAGCTTGCAGCTTTCTCCGTCATCGTCTGTCTGAGGTGGATCATCAATTTTTCAGCGCCCACTGCCTGGAAGCGACAAGGCTAGGTCTAGAACCAGAGGGTACAGCGTGAGCGACGCAAGGTGGGCGGCTCAACGTGGGCATATCATGAGGCAGATTTGAGTCGGGAAACTTGCTTCTTTTGCTTGCCAACCGTATCTTTAGTCTATTTATCGAATTTTTAGGCTGGTCTCGGCACTTGGCCATCTGGCGCCACCCTCGGGCAGGGCCGAAGCCATAGCCACGTCGTCAGCAAATTTGACTCCTCATTCAGGTCGCCGTCTTCCCGGGGCATTTATTAGCTTATATCCTGACAAATTCGAGCTTTCGAGCCAGCCAGCAGCCGATGGTTACGCCGTTAATCTTTCCGCTGGCGTCGCGCCGAGCCGCCAAGGTCCAATCGCCGGGGGGCGACGAGTCCATGGCTCTCGGGCACGCAAGCGCAAAGACATCCTCGGCCAGGGGTCGAATGAGGTGGATGGGACCCTTGCCCAGAAAGCCGTCGAAAGAGCCGTAAAGCATGCCGTCCGTGCCAGTGCAGTGGAAGACAGAATCGATCTCGGCGCACTTGAAGCTGCCGTGCAGAGCAGAATAGTTTGCACGAGGCTGGGCAGCCGGTACGCGAGTGGCGCGGAATTTTCGGTTGTCCTTGGGCAGGGTGATCTCGAGCACGTCTCCATCCAAGAAAGCAGTGACGTCGCTGGAGACGGCCTTGTTCGCCTCCACAGGCGTGATGTCCACTGCAGCGCGATGGTAAAAAAATGACAGCTTCCCCTCCGCTTCACCTTTTCCAATGGTGACGGCCAAGTCGGACTCAGGATCCAAGTAGGTGCCGATGAAGGCAGGGTTTGGCTCGACAGCGCTGAACTGAGTAGCCTGGACTCCCAGAAGCCGCTCAATGACATAATCGCACACTACGCCGGCCTTGCCAAATTCCTCATTGAGCAGAGCAACGACGGATATTCTTTCCTTAGGGGCGTAGATTCTGTTCAGTCGGTAGCCACGCAGGGCACCTCCATGGCCAACTAGAGTCACGCCGCCAACGGTGTGCTGGCTCAGACCGTACCCGTAATCCGACGGCGCTCCATCTTTGAATGTCTGCTTCGCGCAGTTGAGCCCGTACCAGTTTTGCGCATTGTCGCGGTTGCTGTCGACAAACTTTTCGTAAGCAACCATGTCAGTGAGCGAGGCCACGATGCCCGCATCGCCGGCCCACTCGATGCGGTTATCGCCGGGGTAGAAGCCGACCTTCTCGGTGCCTTCGTGGCCGACACAGGGGCCAGGGTGCGTCGCCGTGTCGGCGCAGAGAAAGGCCGTCTTCATGCCAGCCGGGGCGAACATCCTCTCGTTGAGGAGATCTGCGAGAGGCTGGCCGGTGACGCCCTCCATGGTGCGTCCCAGAATATAAAAGTTCGTGTTGGCGTACGAGTACTGCGTTCCCGGCACGAACTGGAAGGACTTGAGGCGCTGCAGCATCTGCGGACCGTGGCGCTCGATCGAAAAGGGTGTCTCGGGGCGGGCGCCCCAAAGTACAGTGAGGGCCCAGTAGTCGCGGATCCCGGACTGGTTGTTGCAGAGCAGCTGCAGTGTCACGCCGGTGTCTTGGATCATTTCCTTTGGGAGTATCTTGTGCAGTTCATCGGCGAGCTGCTGCGCGGCGGGCTCGGCCCGTGCAGCCATGGCTGGGGTTGGGTTGAGTTGCAGGTCGGTCAGGAGGCCACAGGTCATCTGCTTGGAGATGGAGCAGATTGGTATCACCGTGGTGTTGTCCATGGGGATGCCCTTCTGCAGGTCGGCGAAGCCCCAGACCTTCTCGCCGAGCAGCTCGCCATCCTTCAGCACAGCGACGGCGCCGCCAGGTCCGCGACACTTGGCAGGCAAGTCTGCAAGAATCTGCTCGATCGGTTCTGCTAACTGCACCATTTTTAGTATGAGACGTGGAAGTTGTAGATACTTACCTAAGAAGAACCAAGGCGCGGGGTGACATTCTGTATAGTGACTACACTCGGCACTAGTACCACGCCTCCACTGATGGATGGGTCGCGATTTATAAGTGAATTTGGTAATGATGTGAGCAGTCTATAAATACCTCTTGTCTAGAAATGCATTTTCCTCTTCACCATAGTATTTTACCTATTTTCAGGAAAAGTTCCGCGCCAGGAAATACTTGGGACAGGCGGGTGTTTGGCGGGTTGGCGGGGATCCGACAGAACAGCCATGGCGAAGTGACATGCGCTGGTACGAATTGCTTGACGCCGGTACGAACTGCTTTGGACCGGAATTGTGTAGTTAATAAATAACAACGTTATTAATCAATGGCTGGCACATAAATGGCGCTGGGACGGGCTCTCGCATCTCAACCTGCACTGCATCTCCGTGTTCTGCAAGATACAGTGGGTGGCAACAAGTATTCGACCCCCTCCTGGGGGCCTTTTCTAAAACCTACTAACCTAAATAGGGTAATTACATGCCGCTTTTTATTTGTTATGGGTAGGGCTAGAATTATCCCCCGTAAGTCCACTGTAACTGCATTATGGTTAGGGTTAGTGCTTGCCTGATTAAAGCAGCAGCATCTTATCCGTCTTCTTTAGGCTAGGTATCATGAAGGGGTCAAATACATGTTGCCTCCCGCTGTAGGTGCATAATATTATTGGCAGTCTCAACGGTAGCCGATGCCTCTGCATGCTGTCAATCATGTCCCGACACGCTGGCACAGGGCGCTACTGCAATGTGCCTGTCGATCGTGTGTGTGCTAACAATAGTTCGAATAAGTTTCTTTATTTATTATATCATTTCTGCATCAATATTCCATCGGGTCCATTTCAGAGTACATGTGGATTGCTCCGATCGCTGGAGCAAGACACCTAGCCTTGACCTTAGATTGGGCAGTGGCAGTTACCACTGCAGCAAGGCGCGGAGGCGATGTTCACGGTTAGCTCTCCCTTAGAAACATCGTTGCCGGATTGCGTAGGGTTGCTTCCACACTGGCTGCAGCCTGCGGGGACAGACATGTTAGCATGTTACAAATTCGAAACAGGTCTCCATTTGGGCTTACCATGGTCAATCAGGCCTTGCAGAAGCTCGGCCGCCCGATCAGCAGTTCCCGACGCCCCGTTCTGATAGAAGGCACAAATGCTGGCTGGTAGGTCTGTTAGCTCTCCGCAACGGCATCAGATTCGAGAACTGGATTATCTCACAGTACTTGCCACCAGAGCAGGCCAATTGCACTAGGTATGTCAGTATCATCCGGTAATAAACATAGCCAAGCGTTGCTCACCTCCTGTTGCATAGTTGTGTCCGCCGTTGCCTTGAGCCTGGATCTGGTGAACTTGGTTCAGAACTTCCTTCAGGCTAGCATCGTTGAGGTTGCATGCGCCAGAACCCCGGCAGTTAATACCCAGGGCAGTGGCAGTAGCGCTGAAGGTGAAGAGAGCTGCAAGAGAAACCATTTTTGAGGATATTGTAACGTTATGCTGTTATGATGGAGATTTCGCTTGGATAGGTAGTCGAGGTGGACGGAGGCTCTTATGTAGTCTTAGTCTCGTCCTGCCCTTGCATTTCACCCCGATTGTCGCCTGTCCTTGCTTTCGGTTTTCTCCTTCCAGAAGTATTCCAAGCTCCCAAGGTTTATTCCTCCATTGAAGGAAAATCCGACCTCGAAGCTTCCGACCGAGCGCAGATCACCGCTTCGTCCGAGATGGTAAGCGGCTCGTCGGCATGCGTTCCTTGGTATGATGGAATCAATGATGTAGTGACCTTGACGTCGAGGGTATCAATTTGGGTCCCGAGATGTTTTGTCGCAACCGCGGAAGGCGGCACCTTGATGTCGTCTGAGTGTATCAGATCTTGGCGTAAGCAGTAGTCCTCATGTGTGGTGAGGAGTAGCAAGCACACTGTAACGACGAAATTTAATTTAGTGCCGAGATACATCTAGAGAGGATCGGCACACGCTGGCCCCGAACGACGGGAATAATATTCCTCCATTCACTGAGGACTTCTTGCTAGTAACAAGGCAACAGTCCATTTTACTTGGAGGTCGCCATTTCATAATATAATATTTAGATGGCCTGCACTCCATGTCAAGCCTCACAGCAAAAGACACAGAACCAACCTGAATAACAACGGCCAAGACAACCCCATCAGCCTTCATCAACACTATTAACAGCAATTCTCAACAATGAAGACCGCAACTTTCACCACCCTCGTTTCTGTCCTTTCCAGCTCCGTCTCTGCCTTGGGCATCAACTGTCGAGGCTCCGGTCTCTGTCCCTCCGACGGCGCCGCAGGCAACCTCATCAATCTCAAGGCCATCGTGGACGGTATTTCGGACCGCAACCGCCACTACAACACCGGCCAACAGATTGCCTGCACGGGCTCTCTTTGCACCTATTTTCAAAATGGCGCATCCGGCACCGCCAGTGACGCCTCGGAACTTCTACAGCAGCTCCGAGATCATGGTTGCAAGAAATGCGGCTCTGCTCCTACCCAGCCCGGCAATGACGTCTCCAAAGGCGAGCTGACGGTCAATGTTGTTGGCGATCCCCACTGCCAGGGCGCTTGTTAAATAGTGAAGTCATATTTGTTGCGAGACATAAATTCGGAACCATGTGCCCGGGGTAGTAGCTCTTAGTATATAGAGGATAATATATTTCGGTTTAGCCCGTTTTACCATGCGGTCAGAACTTGTCACAGCTCGTCCAGATGGTCTTGTTAGATAACTTGGTCTGTCGGCTGCGAACTCAGCCTTGAACTGTCCTAGCTCTGCGCTACTTTGAAGCAGCCCTGTATAAGGTTGTATCCGATGGCCCGATGATTTTGTGCCGCTCCACCATGCGCCGATCGTCCTCTTACTACGGGGAAGTTACATCTCCATCATCTGCCGCGGCAGGGCTTACTGCACAAATCTAGTCCACCAACCATCTTCAAGGATGCGCGCTACAACGTCATCTATGTCCTTGGCCACCTCTTTTCCATGCTTCTATGATCTGATACACCGGAAAAGGAGGTAACTGGTAGCCAGCTCTGCCTTCGTTAATGTACCTGTCTCGTTCCTGCTTGATATAAAATGGTTACCGCCTGCACTATAAACCAAGGAGAGGAATCTTATGCACTGACATACACACTCGGCTTCTTTTTTAACACACCACGCAAAATGAAGTTCTTCTCGCTTTCCCTCTTTCTCACCGGAGCTGCGGCTCTCGGAATCAACTGCCGAGGCAGTGGTTTCTGCAATGTCAACGATGCATCGCTGCAAGTCGTTCACGATCAAGTTGGCAATCTAATCGCCTCAGGCGGTGGTGACAGAAGATTCAATGGCGGTGGTAAGTTTTTCAGCACCTCAACTCAATACACTGATTTTTGGGGGCTTTGCTTTGGCTACCCAATATTTCACACTTGCCTGGGAGAGTCAATTGGCCTTCTCATCCACAAAGCCGCCAACATGTCCAACAGCATCAACTAATACGCTTCTAAAGACCAAATTGCCTGCTCGCACGGTTCTCAGGGTAGCATTTGTGCCTTTTACCAAAACGGCGCTTCCGGATCAACCAAGGACGCGTACGGTCAACTACAGCAACTTCTTGACCACAAGTGTCACGCTTGTGGTAGTGTACCCACTGAGCCTGGTAACGATGTGTCGAAAGGCGAGCTCACCGTCAACTACGTTTCGAAACCGTGCTGTGAGGGTGACTGCCACTGCTAGAGGGCAATTTTCATGGGTTATGAAACCTCGTGGTATAGACTGATGCACAATTGATAACGACAACCGTGTCTTAAGCTCGCAATGTCAATGATCCAAGTAAGTCAGAATAATGTTGTGGCATGTGGTTATCCAAACACCTTTGCTCGTGAACATCCTGCTCATTCTCATAATCCTAATCATCCAAAGTAAACTTCAGTAGATTATACCCAGCAATTACCTTCATTTTAGTCATGCTTGCCATAAAGGCAGGCCTCGCCGTTGGGTTAACATTGCAACATCCCATCTACCCTATACACGATCACGCAACTTGGTCATCGGCGCGTGGCTGTCTTTTGCTTTCGTGCTCCACAAATTCTTCAGTACTAATTCAAGACATTTTCAAGCCCAATTAATCTGACTGTAATCCAGTATGTACGGCTGATAACACAGGACGATGTCCATATTGAACCCGGAAAAATGAACCCATTATCACGAACGCTAATTACTGACTCTGGTCCCGACACGGCCCATGCAGACGAATGAAAGTAGCCAAAATGCATATCTAAATTCGCATTGCTAAGTCTAATACAGATAGATGCTGAACGCCATGTATGAATTAAGCCGTCGTAATGGTACACTCCATTCGGAAGAAAAAAGAAAACGCTGTCGCTTGGTTTAAACGATTCCAGCTGCAGTGTCGCCCGAATTGGGACGCTTTTCCTCACTCTTCTTCTGCATCTTCCTTTGCTGATCCTTGCCCATCTTATAAAAGATCCAGACACCCCAAAGTTGGGCGGCCGAGAATAACGTGTGCAGGAACGGTGTTGTAATCTTGAGCGAGAGGGACCACTTGTCCCAGAGAGAACCAAAGAGAAACATGACGATGATAGTTTCGGTGGTCGTTCCAACAACTTCCAAAATAGCCGTTGCGTAAAATATTCTGGCCAGGAGCCTGTGGTTATCGTTGTGGGTTCGATAAATAATCATGGCCAAATGAGGCCAAAGCTCGGCAACGACGTCAAATGCACCTGCGAAAAAGGTCAGTCACGGGCCTATTTACCAGACAGGAAGCGCGCGTGCAACATACCCCAGATGAAGCAGAGAATGAACTCGTACACAGCGTCTTTTTCGTGGTCGAAGTTGATGCTCATGGCAATTGCGGCCTGAGCAATGACAATGGCACCGATGTGGTGGGCGCAGCTGATGACGGAGACCTTTTCGCGGAAGAAGAGCTCAAAGATGTACATGCCGCAAAAAATCTGGGAAGAGACGATCATCATATCTCCAAGGGTGACGGAGGAGCCCTTGGCGAAGGGAGTATGCGGCGTCTTATTGCCACAGATGATGGCGAGAAGTGGGTAGCCGCATAGGAAGATGAGCAAAATCTTTGTGCCTGCGGCAATGTGGTGATTTGTGAAGCTGCGCAGCTGGGTGCTCGTTACGTCGCGGAGGACATTGCGCGAGTATATCTTCGGAATGAAACGGTCGAGGATGTAAAGACGGATGAGGGCAATGATGCAGCAGGTGACAGTCAAGATCAAGCCGGAGTAAGGTGCGATTTGGGAGATGGCCTCGTTGATGAGCTCACCCAAATGTAGTCCATGGCGGTTTCCGGGATGAGCTGGCATTATGGCGGGTGGATAGAAGGGAACGCTGAAATTAAAATTCGGATAAATGTATAGGTCGACGGAGAACGAAACGAAGATCGAGTTGAAGGGCAAGGCTGGATCGCCAGCCGGGTGTAGGAGCAGAGCCTAGTTGGGAATCGCTGTCCAGCCGGTTATCATGGATGGAGAAAGGAAGAGAGTACTTGGGAGTAAAAGGTATTATTGTCGATAAACTGTGCTAAAATGAGAGAAAGGTTGGACAGAAATGCGATCAGGAGAAAAGTGAGAGCAGGACAGGTGGCTGACGATGGGCGTCAGCTTCCTATTTACATGGGGGATAGGGGTCGAAATGACATCCACCGTAATGTCGCCCCCAGCAAATTACATATTTATTGATGCGGGTGTCACAATGCAAACACAGCGTAATCCTAGTAAGCACAGCCCTATTGGCAAGACTCAAGGGGGTGGAAACCGACGACAAACCGACATACGAGCACACACCACCCACGACATGCAAGGCGGAACGGGCAACAGAGCGACTGTTGGATGAACTAGCGGCTGCTTTTGGGTAGGAGAGCCCATAAAAAGAATGGGCAATCGGCCCAGAGATGCCGCCTCCTGGCCCTTGGGATACGGATGGAGCCGAGGGCAAGGCTTGGCCACAGGGCAGACGGCTAGTGAGACTCAGTCGGAAGCCCAGTGCCGGGCTGCCCAATCTCACGAGTTGGAAAGGGACCCAGAAGGCCACACCGGCTGGGAGAGATGGGACAGATGAGCTAGGGACTTTTGCGGAACTCCTACTCATTTCAGCTAGCGCAGATCATCTGTCCACGCGTCCTTTGCTGCATTTTGACGCCCAGAGTGTGGGCTAGAACGGGATTGGAGGCGCCTGTAATAAAAGAGCGCATCAGGCCAGCCAGTCTTGCCCGTTTCCTACCCAAGACATGGTCTCTGATCCCCGCAGGGCTCTGAGTCGAGTCGCGACTTAGTAGTACAGTACTCTGTTCTGTTGATCGCTGATTGGGCCTGTGCGTGCTGTCCTGCCTTGTCCATACATACGCCAGCAGGTCGATACTTTACTGCGCCAAGGAGGAGAAAGAGGAGAAACCGAAAACGAGCGAGGCGACGTAATCCTGCCCGTCAAGACACGGCTTTCGCAAGCCTGATATTTCGGGCCACATCGCGAGGCCTTGCTTTTTACCTGCTGCATTGTAGACGGGCGCAAAGCTGACAATGCAGCTAACTCGCTCAACCGAGTACAGATTAGACCTGCGCTGAAATGCCTCTTCTTGCGTCGCACTGTTTTTGAATGACGAAATGAACTATTGTACGCCCTGAGGATGGGGACGGCAGGTCTAGAAGCTGGGGGAGGCGGTCGATCATTTCAGCTGTCAGTGCAGTCTGTACTTGGTCTTGGTCCCTGGGATATTCTGTACTGGTACGTACCAGCCTTTGGTGTCATGTTTGGCGAGCCCGATGCAACAAAGACCTCAGACAATCGTCTGGACAGTGCAGAATCTGACCCCTGGAGCCCTGAAGCCGGAGCAGTTATCGGTTAGCGTCGTGGCAGGGCGGCACCTTCATTACGGAGTACGAAAAGTAAACTTTGACGCCCTTCCCCACCACCATCAACACTGCCCTCATTCTTAGCCTTGTAGATTGGTGGCAGGGGTATTTACTACGAAAACAACAAGTGGCGCTGCTTGAGTTGTCACTTGCACGGCAACAATGTAAAGTGGTTTCGCGACCAGCTCACCGACAAGATCGTGAGACTGCCACGGGTTATGCACCATCCCGCCCGTCAGCGAGGGAGTGAAGGCCACCCTGTGCTGCAGGTAAGATTTCAGGCAGCGTGGGAAAGAGGCGCCGCCTAAATCAGTAGTCAATTGGCTCATCCTGTATGCCGGTGTGCCAATCCACATTACGCTGGCTCTCTGGAACGCGTTTCCGCAATCCGGAACAAAGGGAACCCTCGGGCGCCCGCGTTGAAACAACGAAACACCCGCAGTGTGTTTCTAGTGGCGAGGAGGCCCTTTCTCTGATCAGCCAACTTGAACAACTTGTGGCGGCGCCTAGTGCAATAGTAACCAACGCTAAGTCAGGTGGTGGACAGCCCTATGCCAGATGAGGGAGCTGGGAGAAGAGCTGTCTGTGCCTTTGCCCAGCCGAGCTTCGACTACTGGCTATGTTCCTGTGAACAGCCACTCGCATGCGTAATCCTATGCTTAATTGTTTGTGACGATGCAGAGATCTTTATTTCCCAATTCTCCATCCCGTACACAGCCACGCGAGTTGTTCTATGTCGCTCGGTTGACCTGCCTTCGCGCTGGGCTGAGCAGGGCTGAGTCCAGGCCAACCTGGAGACCCGGCTGCACTGCCGCATGTAACGTCTTTGCGGCAGTGGCCGCGTCGGCAGTAATGACGACCAGTAAATTCGAGTGATTCTGGTTTTTTTTTTAAGTTGCTTTAGTGCGACTTAAATACGGATAAGTCCGGCGTACAGGAGAAGCAGAGTCTGCTGAATCGTTTGCCTATGCAGGTGCTTCACTGAGCATCAGCCATGAATGAATCGCGGGAAAACAAAATCTTGAATCTGGCACTCTGTATTGACAAACAAGACTGTGTGGCAAAGAGCTTTGTACAGAAAAGAAAACCGCCCTGTAGAACACGACAAGAAATTTCCAGCGCCATAGCCAGGGCGCAGACGTATCAGCAGCATCTGTCACATCTCACACCATTCTCTGTCTCGGTGCGACCAGTATGGCCTTGTTGTTGTTTGCAGTGCCCAAGTAAGCGTAGCGCTCAACGCAGATTTTGTTGTCCACCTAGGGCAGGGCCTTCTTCATAAATTGACGCTGCTGGTCCTCACTTCCAAACCCCTTGAACTACACCTGTCAGTATCATCCTCCCGAGGCCAAGAAGGGATTAAACCTACATCGGTAATATAGATTTTGCGGTTTCTGACCAAAGAGCAGACTTTGTTGACCCAGCTCTCCAGATCATTCTCCAGCGTGTGGTCATTGTACCAGTGCACGGGGACAAAGTCAATGTGGCAGTCGTGAGACTTGCCAGTCGTAGCCATCATTAGACACGGCGGGGGCACCAAGTTTTGCACGACCTGAAAACTGGTCCATGTACCGCCTCCATGCGAGGGGGGAGAGCAGCCTGGTCGGGTCTCTCGGGCTCGCTGAAGCCAAGCAGATGCTTCGAGAGCCGTGGGACAGCCAGAGGTTGGTGTTATTGACCCACTGATTCGTATGGTATTTCTGCGTGCCCCAAAGCATGGGAATAAGTTCAGCGTATGGTTGCTTCTTTCTCGTGGTGCTGTCCCAGTTGTACGTCCAGCTAATTTTGGACTTGAACCCGTTCAAGGTGGCACCACCTGTACTGACATCAACTTCGTCATTGACGGCAAACCCACGCTTGGAGCTGGCAACTGTTGCAACAAGTAGGGTTAGTGTGCTGGAAGAAGAGATCGCGACCATGGTAGTGAAGTGTTGGCTTGGTGGCAGGCCCGTTGGTTCGTAACAATGGTATGGAGTTGTGGTCTGCAGTTGGTAAACACCAAGAAGAATTGCAAGACGTATATAGTCACAGCATGTATTATAATCTCTGAATAAAATTTTCATTGTCAAAGTAAGCCACTAATAAGCCGCCCCGTCACTTGCAAAATGATCGAGTGTAGCTGCAAGGAGACATTTCGTCGACTCTGAACACTACCTTTCCCAGCGCCTGACAAATGCGTAATAATGAGATATGTTACGCAGGAAAGCTACGAGCTTCGGAATCCTCTTCAAAGACTAAAAGCTAACAGTGCAAGGTGAGCGTATACTTTATATCCCAGGGACCTCCAGCTGTATTACAGGTCGCTCAACGTTGAATGAAAACCAGACTGGGCTTTATCTGTCAACGTTGCAATCGTGTTGTCCTGGATTTATGAAGAATCTGCCAATGCTTTTTTTTTTGGCTCTGGTACCTGCATAAGTAGCGTAATCGTCAGGAACACTATTGCTGCTGGCGCGCGCAGTCAGATTATAATGAGGGTTGAATCCTTACTACGAAAGGCCTACAAAATTTAGCATGAATGTCTGTCAAGAGTCTCTATGTAATAACATTCATTCCTCGTCTGAACTACTACAATGATCTCGAGTTCACTTTCTAGAAGTAGTGTTACCACCCTACTCAGGCTGGTTGATTGGACGGTATGGATTTGGACACGCGGACCGATTATTTCACCCTGGACCAGAGAGCGCTGAGTAAGATCTGAACCAATTGCTTCACAATAGGCAAATACATTTAGAAGAATTCCCGTAGGAATGGTAGTTTGTGCTGAATTGGGAAAGTCTCCGATTGTGAGTACCGATTCTCTCCGCCCAACTGCCTCCCTAGGTTGTTACTCGCCAGCAATGACAATGGTTGGTGAACCAAACACTTCGGGCTACGATTGAAGGAGTCGTTTCATGTATGTAGTAATGTTTGACTGTAACTTTGGCAATAGCCCTTGATGAATATCTCCGATTATCTTTCATAGGTCGGCCGAATCGACTAGGGAATTCTTGTCGCAGCTACTGGTATCTTTCGCCTATTGTTGGTGATGATGCTTGAGTCTAGTTGCTTACTTCGAAATGTCTCGAATCGCGTCGAATTTTCGCGCCTTTGCAGCGTGCACATCGTACACGATACTATTCGAAGTAAATAAAGCTGGCCATATGAATGTGTATTGTATTCTTAAATCGTTAAATTGGTATCAATCCATCGCGCGTCATCAGTAACATACACCCGTCCCAAGCCGTCACGAAGACTTGTTTCGCGAAAAACGGTTGAAGATGTTTTTAATCTGCTTCTTGACCTCGGCGCTTTTGCTTTCCTTCTTCTCGCCATTTTCATTCCCTCCGACGCTACCGCTGCCAAGATCCCGCGACTGCGACTGCGCCTCAGCAGCCTCCTGGGGAGGCGTGAGCTCACCGCTCTTGTTCAATTGCTCTTGCGCGTCAAGCTGTGCCGTGTGGTCATTCATGAGTTGCTGCGCCAGCCCGACCGTATTCTCGTCCTCGGCCTCCGTAGCTGGCGCGACGCCCGAGTCGGTACCATGCGAGAGCATCAGGCCGTCCTTGTTGAAGAGGTCCGCCACCTTTCCTGGTCCAAACAGACGGTCGTACACTGCAAGCGTGGTGCCAAACTCCTTACGCGCACCGATTTTGATAGCGTCCAGCAGTTGCAGCGCATAGGTCTGGCAGTTGTTGGAGATGAGGTTGTACGCGGGTGTCTTTTCGCGAATGGTGGAAATGACGGTCTCGCCGGCACGCCGTAGTGCGTCGTCGTTGAAGCGCGTCTGGCCGACGCTGAAGGTCTTCCACTCTTCGCGATTGATCCTGCCATTGATGTAGATGACGTGGAAGTTCTCGTCCATCCATAGTTGGTGGACATACTCGCCGACGAGGACGGCCCAGTGCTGCGTAGGGTCTGGATACTTGTTGATCCTCTCCGTAATCATCTTGCCGAGGCCGGTGCTGTTGGCGAACCAGTTGCCGGCGAGGCCGCCGACGGGATGCCACCCAATCTCGACGGGGCGAGGCTCGCCATCGTGGATCGGCTCACCCTCGGGCACAACGTTGGGCTGAGCGCCGAGTCCTACAGCGCGCTTCAGCGCGAGCTCGCCTTTGTTGATGTTCTTTTGCCTGGATGTTCGTTAGCTACGAGTGCGAAGCAAAGGAACTGCGAAGCCGCCCATCAGGGGCTGAGAAAGCGGGCCAGGAACCTACAAGAACTCGCCCACATCGAACCCCTCTTCATCCTTGTTTACTTCTGTCTCTGCCATTGAAGGGGGAAATGTGCATGAAATCGCAGAGCCAGAGACTGCGTAACGGCAGGCGCTTTAAGAACGAGGTTTATGAAAGAAGATTGTCGCAAGATGAAAGTGTGGCGTTTGATTCAGCTTCAAGTCCCTAAGTCTGTCTCCACGTGTGCATGCAAAGTGGCGGGTTCATATTGTGTACCTATGCACCTTGGCAAATTCTGTATCCTTACCCTGTACCTCTGCGCCTCACAACGCTACGACACCCACCATTGCTATCCTCAACAATACAAAATATATCTTCTTAACTTGGATGTTACCATCTTATTGAGAGAACCTTACCCTGCCCTTGTTACATGATCATAGAAAGATAGTATTAATGACAAAATATTTCTTGCGTGTAGGATGTATTATTATCAAGTAGGAATGGTAGCCTCTTACTCAATCCTCTGCTGCCTCCACCCACTCTATTAGTACTTCATCATTTTTCCGCTGACAAGTCTCGAGATATTTTCATCCCCCTGCCTCACTCGAGCCCCTTCTGCTTTCCGCTTCCACTGTCCTCGTCTGCGCACTTCGTGCCATTCGTTGCGACGTGAAACACATCGATCTTTTTGAGCTTCCAGAACGTGTCAGCGAAGTCGTCAGGGTGCTTGGCAACGTATTCAGCGCAGGTCTCATAACCAGTCGTATTTCGACATTGCTGGCCCCAGAGGGCTGGATTTCCCGCGGCCGCACCGCAGAAAGTTATGTTCAACACAAGTTTCTGATCACGAACCTGGCGGCTCACATTGCAAGACGAACCGCCGGCATAGAAATGCGGCTTGCCCCATGACTGCGGGTTCGGCTTTCCAAGCCGGATGTCCTTGGAAGTGCCGTTTCGACTCCAGCTCCAGACCTTGATGTACTCGCTCGACCACTCCATTGCGTCTTTTGCTTGCTGTCAGCTTTTGACAACCGTTCGCGTTTTTAATAGGGTAGACTCACAGACACCACCAGATTCAGAGCCCCACTGCCCAGAAGTCTCCTCCGTGCTGCACCCCTGATTAAGAGCTTGCTTTTCGTCTTGAAACGTGCTGTCGCAATTGGTTGAAATGACCGTATTTGACATGGGGGATTGACTGATGGTGCAATTGCCCACCTCTGTTGCATTTCCCGTGTGCAGAACAACCATATTGTTTTTGGCCAGATTCCAATTCTCGATGATGTCCATTTCGCCCTTGACGGGCCACGGGTCACCAAATGTCCAGCTGGTCACGACAAGGAACTGTCATCAGCTTTTGCTTCGAATGTTGTTTTAGGTCGTAGTTTTCAGAACCTTTGACTTACAACGCGGGCCAGGCTCCGCAGCTAGGCTTGGGCAGATGTGTGAATTCCGCGATAAACAGCCCATGGTTGTAAAGCTGCTTGCTTTCGAGCCGAACACTGTCACGTCCCTCGCCTTTTGGATCCATTGTATCCCTGTGATTGACGCCCAAAAAGACTTCCGATCCCTGGGTCGCGATGAGCCCTAATTTCATGGCATCTTCCCGGTTGCGATAGTTGACGAAGCCTGATGTTGGATCGACGTCATTGTAGTTGCCGGTCGAGTAATTGCTCTGTTGTCTTTTTAGTGATATGTCTCATGCGCGTGCGAGAAAGGCCAGCTACCTCAAAAAAGTTGAACTTTTCAAAGAAATTCGTGGAACTGTACGACTCAACGAGTGTATACTGAGAGTCTGCGTGGGCGAAAGTGAGCCCCGAGAGGACAGCCCACAGGATGATGGCAATCATTGTGACAACTTAAAATCACTACTGATTTTAAGTGTGAGTGAATAGAAATCGAACATGTGCATGAAGAGCGCGCCGAGGAATAGTAGAGCCTCTCCAGACTATAAGTACCTGATGCTACCCGATGATGGTTTCATTATAAGCCGTACTAGTAGCTTCCTTCCCCTGTCTCATCTACCTTCCGAGATGCATCCATGCCTTTATGGCCAACAAAAAAATGGCCAGAAAGGCCGTGCTTCGTATGTAGGAATCGTCTCACTATTTAAATATCGCTATATTGAGTCGCCACTTTTTCGCATGAATTTGCGTCCTACTGTGGAATGCACGGCCCGTGTGCTTTAATGTGAGCCTCTCTAGGGCCTAAATTTTGCTCCCAGTAATGCCTCAACTGTATTTGAAACTTGAATGAGTCGTTCAAGCCCTTACGCGAGTTTAAAAAAGCTTGCGCACTCTCTTTCTTAACCTTTATTCTCTTACTGTGTTAAGCCTATTGAGATAAACTTAGATGCTTACTGGTCAAAGAGACTGTGGCAAGTCTCGCCGAAACATGCAATGCAGCCTTAGGTATGCGATAGAAATGACTATCTTACTATGCAGTACTCAGAGAAGATTAGGCCGAGACTTTTCAGTCTAGCCATTGCTAGTTTAGGATTAGGAAGTGTAGTCATTTTAAGTATAAAACGGTTGCCTAATCTAGGAGTGGAGGAGATGAACCGCAACCTAGCAGTTTCCGCGAGGACCTCGCTCGTTCCCACACATTCACGTCGGCTTGCCGGCGCCGACGTGGTGCACGACCGCCATCCGCCTAAAGATGGGCAAAAGCAGGTGCACCGAAGTTGTTTCTTCCACTTTTAATACTCCCTTGATTTTTGTACTTATATCAACTCATTGATTCTCTCATTTGCTCTTCATAACCTACTAGTATAGTCCATTAGTTCGAGATAAAGTCTCTAGGATACCTGGATACTATATAGATAATTGCGCACCGGTCGTTGTCAGAAGATGACTAAGTGCTTTACATATCCACATGTGAGTATCATAGAAATTTTAACTAGATTGCGACTAAGTATCATATAGAGTGTTCGGAAATTATAGACGGTAAATTGTGACGATTTAGGCGGCTATCCCGCTTAGTGTCGCCGAAGCCACATCGCCTCCTGTGTTGCCTACAGCGGCTCATTTAACTACCGATATACTAGTCAGTGTAGCACCACGCGACAATTCTCGTCCGGGACTCTAGCAAACGTTGCTGTCTGGAATGGGAGAGATGGTGCAGCTATTCTGGCTCACATAATCACTCTCTTTCGATGCGCAGGTAATATAGAGCGACTTGAACTTCTAACCGTTCGACTAAAGTGTGCGACACTACCCTAAGTATTATTCACAGCCGTTATTATTAATATTAGGACCCTAAGTATTCTTAATTTTTAGTATAGCCCTACCTAAGGTGGCCTAAGCTTTAATAGTAAGAAAATATTAATAGATATAGACTACTAATTACTTAATTAGTTAAACTAGAATAGTTAGGTTAAGTAAATAGAGTTATATAATTAGTAACTATCTAGTAAGAAAGTAAGATAAAATATACTTATTAAATATATATATAATATAACTAAACTTATTTAGTATAATAAACTAGACTATTTAGTTTTTATATATTTATAGTCTTATAAGTATTTACTTTTATTTTATAATTATACTAATAATATCTATAATTATAGTGTATTAAGGGCTTTTATATACTAGTAGCTTAATCCTAATCTATAGTTAATCTATTTTTTAAGAAGAGAGTTAGTTTAAGTGTATAGAGTATAAATAAATAGTTATTATAGTATAAGTTATATTAAAAAATATCTTTAAATAGTAAAGCTATTATTTAGATTAATTAGTAGAGACTTAGTCTAACTATCTACTAGAATCTCTATCCTTATATATCTATTCTATTCTCTACTATATTACTTATATAATAGTAGCTTAATCCTAATCTATAGTTAGTCTACTTCTTAAGTAGAGAGTTAGTTTAAATATATAAGTGTATATAAATAGTTATTATAGTATAAGTTATATTAAGAGATGTCTCCTAATAGTAGAACTATTATATAGGTTAATTAGTAAAGATCTAGACTACTTAACTATAGGAATACCTCCTCCTTAAGTACTTATCTACCTCTTTACTATATTCTTAGGATTACTCTAGATTACTAGTAATCCCTTATAATCTAATATCTATAGGATTACTACTAACTTATTATAATCTATAGTAATCTAGTTATATAACCTTATATCCTAATTAGGCGACTTCTAGGTTCCTACCTAGTTACTCCCTTAGGCCGCCTCCTAGCTGCCTTATATATATTCTTAATTTATAATATTATTCTCCTCCCTTATTAGTTTTATCCTTAAGACTACTATATTAAGTCCCTTTTTTCTTTATTCTATAGGTTTATTTTTCTCTCCTTTATTATTATACTTTATTATATTTAATTATATTTTTAAGTCTTATCTTTTAAAAGCTAAATAACGTTTTAAACTTACTATTATTATTAAAGAATTTAGTATTAAAGTTATACTTTATTCTTTTTATTATTCTTAAAAACTTCTTTATAAGATAATAGAGAGTGTTTCTTATTATAAAGAGTGTATTTATTATAGTTATTCTTATAATAGTTTAAGTATACTAGTATCTTCTTTTAATTAAATTATTTTAGAATCTTAATATTTATATTATAAAGAGGAGGAAGTTACTACCCTCTTTTATTATCTTTAATAAGAATCCTCTAAAGTACTAGTTAAACTAGAATACTTATAAAAATAATATAAGTCCTTTATAACTTAGGGTTCTACTATAGTTAAGTATAGTCTTTATTTATTAAATAAGCTTAATAAGTCTAAGAGAGTTAAATTAAAGACTATAATTAAAGTCTAGTCCTTAGGTTATATAAATATAGTAGATTAGAATATTATCTT